CCAATTACTGCAGATGAGAGCAGAAATCCCGCTGCCCTCTTTAACTCTCTCTCTGCATTAGCACCAGTTCATGGACATTTTTTTTCCTTTTTTTTTTTTTTTTTTTTGCACCATGTGTCACTAATTTTACTCATTTTCTGAGTTTGTCTAGAATAGTAAAAGATTTGATTAGAGTGTTCCCAGTTTTAATTGTAATTAGGACAGTCATTGTACGAGCTATAAAAGGAAATTGGGCTACCGCTGAGTGGAAGAGCCCCTGAGAGAAAAGGAGCTGCGAAGGGAGAATTTCGTTCATAAAAAAAAAAGGAAAAAAAGAGGCAGTTTTGGGAAGAAATAAAACTCCAGCTCAGGATAGTGTGACAGCCAAAGTGGCCCAGGCATCTGGGACCATAAGCAAAGCATGTTTCCTGGGGATTTCAGCATGAGTTGTGAGCAGTTTGTTCCCTGCTGCAACCTTCTGTACGACCTTGGGCGAAGCAGCTCTGCCCTCGTGCCTCAGTTTCCCCCCACTGGGACTCGTCTGAGTGGTCTGCGAGCTAATGGCTTATTTTACAATGTGAATTGTAATCCTTTTGATATGGGAGAGGTGAGCATTGAAATAACCTGCCCAGTCCCCATGCCTTACCAGAAGACACCTTGCTGGAGGCACCACAGCTGCTGAGGGACAGCACCTGCAGCCAGGGGACAGCAAGATTCACCCAGGTCCCAAGGATGGACATCAGACATTCCTGCTTTTTTCCAGCAGAGGGAGGGGAAGGCTGATTGAAGCCCATTGAAACAGCGTTGCTGCTGGGAAGAACACCTAGAGACAGCATGTGCAATGTCAGACCAGTCACCACCTGAAAAGACCCTGGAGAAGTGCGAATCCCCCAGAGACAGATAGCATCACCGCAGGCTTTGCCAACCCAGGGTGACCTTGTTGGCCACCTGTGTCAGAAACATGGTGGTGAATCACCAAATCCTCAGGGATCAGAGGGACAGGCAAGATGCCTGCAGCAGTGTTTCTCAACTGACTTCACTGTATAGAAAAATTGCTCTTGACAGTCATGGTCTCCAGACTGGTCACCATGCCACACCTCCAGCCCCTCCAAAGGGTGACTCTCTGCAAAAGGGCAGTGGGCAGTGCCCAGGACCATATCACCTGTCCACCAGCCCCTCTGCAGGAGGGCAGCCTGCAATGCCTGAGCTGTCAGTCTGGTGCCATAAAATTCAAGATAAATCAATTTTCCCCCTTCCCCCTGCTCTAATTCCACCAGGGGAGACAGTCTTTTTCCTGAAGCAATAATTTGCCTCAGTTAAAAAAAAACCCACAGTGGAGCTCTGACTGCTCATGGCACATTAATGTGTATCAGCCGTTGCCTGCCACCTCCTAATGATCCCACCTCCGATCCGAGCCCAAAACTGTGGGCTTTTTACCACTACATTTAAAGCAAAGAACAAACATAAACCAGTCACCTCCCAGCGTGGCTGAGATTTTCATTAGTCCAGGCGGGGAGAGGAAGGGGGTGTTGCTGTGCTCGGCCCTTACTGCCTTCAAAATTGATGGATTTTCTTTTTATTTTTTTTCCTCTTCCCAGCAGCTCAGAAGAAACTTAATCATCACCTCCGAGGAGGAAGAAACCCCCCGTCGTATCCTTCAACTCGCAGGGCCACGTGACGCTGCTCTGGCCTTACCTATGTGATGTCTGAACACAGCACATGGCCTGGCACTTGCAGCCTATTTTATTCTATAGATGGGTTTTTTAATTTATATTATACTATATCACATGACATTACACTGCATTACATTGTAATGCCTTATTATACTATACAGAGTTATCAATTTCATATATTTATTTGGATAATAGACTATAGAGTATATATTATATTTTTTATATATGTATTTATCTCGTGTGAGAGCCAAAGCCTCTCATCCATGGAGGGTGCCCCATGCCCCCCGAAGATGTGGCAGGTCCCTTTCCTGCAGGATTTTGGAGCTCAAGGGGCAGTGAGGTACCAATTAGCCCAGCTGCTCTCTCCATTTGTGAGTCCCTGGGCCACGGGCTGGCAGCATCATGGAAAGGACTGGGACTGCCCAGGCTGACGCTGCAGGAGGGGAAGGGAAGGAGCAGGCTGGCCGGTGTCAGACCTTGGGGTCAGAGAGCAAGGGAGATGTTCCTGCCAACATTTTGTGTAAGCTTGAAGAAGAGGATGAGCCTCACATCATTTTTAGTGACTTAGCCTCTGGGACATTGGTGGCAGGTCAAAGAGGTGTTAAACTCCCAAGCCAAAACCTTTTGTGTTTCTGTAACAAAGCTCACCAAGGGCAGGAGGTGACTGACACCCACACCACTGGCACGTGGCTGTCCATGACTCTGTGCCTGGGGACATGAGCACGCCACACCCTGTCCATATCCTGCACCCACCACGCCCCAGGGTGGCACACGGCACTGAGCAACACAGTTCTGCAGGAGCAGCACCACCATCTGCATGCCCTGGCCTTCACTGCAAGAGAAACAAAGGCAGCAGGACAAAGAGGTGCACAGGAAAAGTACAAAACCACAGTGATGGTGCAGGGATAGAGGTTTTTGTAGAAAAAGCAAGGATGAGACCTTCAGACCCCACACAGGTGCCCTGGGATGTGACACTCACCTGGAGCCTGAGTTCGGGTGAGATGATGGCAAGGGGGCTTCCAAAACCCCCAGATCAGCCAGGGAGGCCACAGGGAGAGGGCTGCCTCCACCACCAAGCCCCAGCCAGCTCCAGACATGCGGTGGCTTCTGCAGATTTGCTGGATTACGGCCGTCTCAGGCAGCAGTGGTGTATGTTATTGCTGGAAGGTTCACATTTTATCATTTAATCAAATAAAGTGCATTTGTGGATTACACAATCATTTCCAGGCCTTGATAATCTTTTTCTGCTTAGCTCTGCACTAGGACTGAGGAGGCAAACAAAGACATTTGTAGCTGTCGTTGAAGGCCCTGGCTTCCTGCCAGGAGCTCTTACTCCTTGGGAAAACTGGTGCAATTTGTATTGAAGAACATCCTGGCAATGGTGAAATACTAGATATTTATTTATTTGGTCAACCAGGAGGGGTTTAACTATTTGTTTCCAGGTAAAATAACAGAACAAATATTAAGATAAAAATCCTGTCTGCAAATGGCTCAGAGTAAAGCACCGAAGTCCAGAAAAAGGGTTTATGTAGATGAAAGCCATGTCCCAGACGGGTGACAGGGTCACCCCTTCCCCTCTCTGCACCTTGACATGGCACTTGGGTACCCTCCAACAAGAAATTTCAACTCCAAGCTGGGGAAGATCCATGGTAATTGTCCCCAGGGCAGGCAGAGAACCCCAATGACCCCCAGAGGAAGAGAGCGACTAAGGTTGGCTCTGCCTCTTGCACCAGGTAGGAGTTGCTGCAGCCTGGAGTGTGGGGTCCCCTCCAACATATCCAACAAGGATGTACCACCACCAAAACCCAGCACAACTCTTCAGGGAGACACCCTCTGATCCCCATGCCTTGAAAAGGCCCCAAAACAAAAGGCAGTCCCAATATTGGGGGACTGAGAACTTATTTAAATACAGTTTCTGTACCCACCATGATGCTCACCTGTCTGATGCTCAGCTGCCACCCGCTCCCACATGGCCATGAGGATGATGTTTGCAGTCACAAAACTGGAGGAGATGAGGGTCTTTTACCCATTGCCCTCAGTTAAATCCTCCCAGAAACCTGACCAAAATTCAGTTCAACTGTGATTTTCTTAAACATTTGAAAGGTTGCTAGAAAAAAACTCTGATTTGATCTTGCTTTTCTGTCTTAAAAATAACCTTTGTTTTAATGACACTATGGCTAAAATAGTGGATGTTTAATGTTTGCTGATGATGTTCTCACTGGAGAGTAAGAAAACTGCAAGAGAAAACAGGAAAAACATCCAGTTTATACATATACTAAATGCAAAGAAATCATGCATTCAGTACCCACTGGCACAACCAGCCCTGCCAGCCCAATCCTTCAGGAGATTGGCCCCAAGGCAGGAAGAGGCTAACAAAAGAAGAAAGAAAGAAAAACAAAAAAGCAGCTAAATTTGTGCAATTTTGGTCTGCGTCCTGCACAGAGCCCTGGCCCCAAACCCACACTCTGGGGATACACTCCCAAATTCACCTCCTTCTGCCTGGGAATGTCCCCCCACACCTTCTGTGGCCACCCAGCATCACTGGCCACCCCGGTGAGGATGGTGCTGTGCTGACTGCTGCCAGCAGCAGGGCTGCTGCCCTGGACTTCCCCTCCCACTGCTTTGCTTTGGGGCCCTGCTCAGCCTAGAGCGCAGTTTAGAGGTACCCAGAGTTACAGGGTGACAGCTTTAAAGACAAAGATCAGGAACTGAAAAAGATGAGGAGATGGAAAAGAAGATTCCCTGAAGTGTGCAGAGCCCACAGAGACACGACAGCAGCATCACCTCACCACCGTGGACTTCTTCCCAAGCACCTGTGCCGTCACCCCATTATGACCCTGTGGAAGGAAGGACCAGGATGAGTCCAAGAGGCAGAAAGGAAGCTGTCCCAGCCCCAGTCCAGTCGGCTCCTGTGGACCCTAGAAAGCAGCAGAATAGTCGGGCAGGTATTTGCCTCTTGCAGCACAGAAGGTTCAGCTCCTCTGCCTCTGATCAGCAGCTCTGAACACTTTGAAAGGCAATGAGCGAAAGGGTTTAAAACAATTTAACATGAGCCAACCAGGAAAGAGGCTGATGGAGAAGCCCACTCCAATCCCATATACATCAATCACCCAAATCCCCCTGTGAGCAGCCAGAGCAGCCCCCACAGCTGTTCTGGAGTTGTAAAGAGCTTGGAGTCCCCACACCCACACATACACCCAGCTGCCCAAAGTGATGCTGGCCCATCCTGATGCTATTTTGCATCATGCCCTCCTGGCATAGCCATAGATTTGTCCACTGCTCCCAAGAACCCAAAGCTGCTTGGTCCTCCCATCCACATCACCCCCAAAAACACAGCAAAACACCAGGTTTAGCAAAAATGTTTAATCTCTCCTTGATGCGTGTGTTTATTTACAAGTACTAAATCTGAAGAACATTAAAATAGGAAATAGCAGGATATTTACACGATCAAAGGGCGCTCGACCAGCCGCGCTGGCCTGTTGCTTCAAGTCTGAAACAATCACAGAAAGGGAATCAGGACTCTGGTGTTTGATTTTTTTTTTTTTTTTATTCCCCATTTAATTTTTTTTAAACTGCTAGAATTCTCTGCCTCTCGCTGGGTCCGCCTTAGGTCTCCCCCTGCTTTCTTAAAGGACAGCTTGTTGTGCGCTTTGGTTGGGAGCGGGTGAGCCTGGGGGAGTCCCACCATCCATCCCCCTGCTCCCTGTCCCCAGGCTGGGGCCAGCCCTGGGGGTGACACAGGGTTCCTGCTGAGGGGGACACTTCCAGGCTGCACTTTTTTTAACCCCAAACTGAAGAGAAAAGGCATTGTGAGCACGGAGGGACCCCCTTGCTGCAGCGGTGGGGGATCAGCCTGCATGCTCCAGCTGCCTCTGACAGCAGTGGGCAGAGCAGGAGCACCCAGAAACACAGGCTCAGGGCAGGGGATGCTTCTTTATCTCACCTCATTTTGGAGCATGGGCGAGACCACCAGCAAGAGGAGTCCTGCAAATGCTTCCCAGCTTCTTCTCCCCACCTTTCCCTGTTACGAGGCAGGGTTTGATGGGGTCGGCCAGCCCGGCTCTGCCCCTCGCCAGGCTGGGGCGAGGGAGGACGGGCAGGCTGCCTGGCACGGTTAAGGACGCTGGGCATCACACGAAAGGCAAAGGTAGCACCAGGAAGTGCCAGAGGCTGTGGGCAGCATTGCAATGCCCACCTTGTCAACCACCACCCTCCCTGTAAGAGGCAGCAAGGGGACCCCGCAGGGTGGGGAGGTGCAGTGGGATCCTCAGTGGAGCAAACCGCAGACATCCCAAAGCTCTCCAGGAGGAAATCAAGGGGAATCAATCCCTGGGACCACACTACGGGCACTCAGCATCACCAGGGGGCTGGAAGAACCAGGTCACAGCACAAGGGGAGCCCAGAAAGCACAGCCACACCATGGCACTGTTAGCATGACCTCTCCAGAAGCTTCTCCATTGCCTAAATCTTACTCAGACCCACTATTACCAAGAAACTTGCCTGTCCCTCTAGCCTGGCCAAGGGAGCACCCATAACATTGCTGCTGGGAAAGCAACAGGCTAGCTAACAGACCCTCCAAAATTAACAGTGCTTCCAACCCTCTTCATCAAAAAGGAAATTTTCAGGGAGATGCTCTTAGAAACAAATCTCAATCCCCTACAACCACCAACAGGGAGGTCCCATTATTCCCTGTCAACCACCACAAAAAATATGAGTTTGGCTCCCTCAACAGCAATCGAAGCCCCCAAGAATGTTCCTACCACTGCAACAGGTAGGACCCATGCCAGTCCTGGACAGACACCTCAAGACAACCACTCCCCTTCCACCAAATCACAATGGCCACTGACGCAAAGCTGCCATCCTCCAGGCGATTTCCACGACCTTTACCAAAGCCACCCAGGCAGCAACACCACAAGGAAGAAGTTTTGGGCCAATCTTGCACCAAAGGGAGCCACAGGTACCCCTCTACCCCATTGCAGCAGCAGCAGCAAACTCTACAAAAGACCACCCCAAGGGGCCCCCAGAGGGTCCTGTCCCACCAGAGCACTCAGGGAGATGCTGGCAGCCAGCAGTGGCCCTGGCACAGGGCAGGTGGGCACACAGCTGTCCTCTAAGGCTCTCCAAGTAACACATTTGAGATGTGAACCTCTGAAGTCTTTCTTTTTGCTGTTTCTTTTTTTTTCTTCTTTTGGACAAGAAAGTGACAAATTAATTTCAAAAAAAAAAAATAGATAACAGGTCTAAACAAACCTCTAATATTCAACACTTGCAGTTTTTTTGTTTTATGGGTTTTTTTCTTCTGTTTCTTAAAAAGATCAACTCAGACTAAAATCTAGCACAGTCATGCAACAGCCCACAGCTCTCAGAAATCCAGCGACAGCTCAGGGTTTGTAGGTTTGGGAAACAATTATTAATTCCTTTTCAAACATATTTTTGCTGTAGTGATTGGGTTTTTTTGACTTTTTTTTTTTTTCATTTTTTTTTAATCAGCATCTTCTCTCCTTTCCCTCCTTATTAAAACAAAACAAAACCAAACAAAATTACAACATAATGAGAGATGTGCAGGCTTCAAACGATTGTTCTGCATGGTGAGAAAGGCTTGGAAGTTCCTTCCAGACCATTTGGTATCTTTTTTTTATTTTTTTTTTCTGCAGTTGTCGTTTGTTTTGTTTTAACTGGCTGTGTAAATTCATCTTGTATTTATATCGGTTCGATTCTCCTTCAGTTAACTATACAGCACCCCACTGGGGCGCGAGAATTAGATTGTAACCACATATATATATATACACACTTTTATTATTTTTTTTTTTTAATTAAAAACTTCATTATTTCTCCCTCTCCCCCCCTTAACTTGCAGTTTAAGGGAACGGACAGAAATCAGCTGGGCTTCTTTCCACTTGGATTTTGACAGCTACCCGCTCCTGGCAGAGTGCGGCCCCGTGTGCTGTGGCCTGGGCAGCAACGGGAGCTCTCAGTACAGAAAAGGAAAGGGTTTTGCTCATTTTTTTGGAAGTTTTTGGTCTCCTGCTGCCTTTCCAGGCAGCATTCAGCACCTTTTCATCTCTGGAAAGCACAAACCCGCGAGGAACTGACATTTCGAAGGGGGCAGCTGAGGGAGTGACCTCAGGTCACCAATGAAGTCCCTGTCGGGGCGGAGGCAGCAGGGGGAAGATGGGGTGACAGCAAGGAGAGAAAGGGGGAGAAAGAAGTAAAAGACAGAGAAAGAAAGGTCAACCTTGGGTGGAAGGTCCTGCACACATTTGGGCTTCCCAGGTGGAAGAGTGGGCAACAGCCTCGTGGCAGCCATCATCCCAGTCCCTCCACGGGCTGGTAAGCCAGGGGGTTTGCCAGGGGGATCCCCATCAGGAGGTGCAGAGGATCTGCCTCCCCTTTCCCCGAGGATCTAGGCTCTTCCCCTACATCAGCACAAAGACATGATGAGGGAAAAAATAAACATAAAGGGGCTTTGTTAAGGCTGCTCCAGTGCCAGGGAATCCATCCCAAAAAGCCAGGTTGGCTCTCCATCAACCCTCCTGACAGCAGGAGCCCCTGCAACCATCCTCTACCCTCCATCATCCCAGGACAAGCAGGGGCAGGCAGCACTGCCCAGACCACCCCATGGCCACTGAACTGGAAAAACAAGGACAAGATCAACAAAACACTGACCATCCCTCAGCAATCCCTTAGGAAAAAAAAAACAAACCCCGAGCCTTGGGATCTCCCTTCCTCTCTGCTTGTGACCTCCAGAACCACTCAGCAGCATTTAAATAACAGCATCTATTCAGCTAACAAAACTCCCACCTTTTTTTTCTTCAATTTTTTTTTTTTCCGCACTAAACAACATTCAAATAAAACATGGCACAGGACATATTGTAGAAATATCAAAGCTCAGGGATTTCTCCCTTTCCTGCCCACCCCTACTGCCCCCACCCCCGTATCTCCCCAGCATCAGTCCTTTAGCTTATCTTTGAAAACCATTTTTGTTAGTTTGTTGCAAAAAATTTAGAATATTTTTCCCCTCCCGTTTTTTTGTTATAATTTTTTCCTTTAAATTAAAAATTTTGTTTGTCTTGTGTAAATTGTGCAAATATAGCAGTTAACACTAGTGGCAGAAGGCCAGAGAGAGAGAGAGAGAGAGAAAGGGGAAAAGACAGAAAAAGAGAGAGGAGGAGGAGGAGGAGAGGGGGTGGACAGCTGGGGGGAAGGAAGGGAGAGCAAGTCAAGTACAGTAAAAATAGGAGCCCACCCCCCTCCCTTCACCAAAGTAACAACATCCAAACGCCATCCTAGAAAGCCCCGCGGTCCCGACCCTCCGTCCTTGTGGGCTCAGGGGCTCTGCCCAGACAAGGGGTGCCCAGCAGGTCCATGGGGCAGGCGATCCCCCTTCTCCTCTGCCCGGCATTGCCTCTCTACAAGGTCCCTGCTGCGTCCCGGTTGGACTGGGGGGGGTTTGTTTGTGGGTCAGGGAGTTCTATCGACGTTGCTGCCGCCGTCGGGATTCGTTTGTAGTTTTTTCCGCTAAAGCGCGAGGTTTCCTTGTTTGTTCGTGGGAAGCGTGCAGAGGCTCCCGCGGGTCCCGCCGGTCCCAGCCCCAAAGTCTTGTGCCCGCGGCTGCCGCTGGCCGGCCCTCCCTCCTGCTGCCTCCACTGCGCGGGACGCTGGCACCGCCGCCGCCTTCTCAGCTGCTTAAGGCCATTGTGTCGATCGCCTGCTCCAGCTTACTCCTCAGCCGCTGCCTCCGGGCCTGCTCGTCCTTCTCCAACGCAGCTAAAATCTAGGGAGAGAGGGGAGAAGAGAGAGTGAGGAGATGCCCACCTACCCAAAACAGCTCCTTGTTGCCCGCTGGCTCTTTGACAGCTCTTTGTCAGGGCATGGGGATGTGGTCCCACGGGAAGCAGCGCACGTTTGTTCTTGTCCCCAGGGGAGCCAGGAAGGGCCAAAGGAGGTGTAGGGTGGAGGACATGGCTCTGAGTGGTGCCACCCCACAGACAGAGGCCACTGGGGCCCCCAAGGGGCTGCAGTAACACCAGGGACCTGCTGGACATTAACAAGAAGGCAACTTACACATGGGGAAGTGAAGAAAACATTGGAGGGTGAACCCCAAATTCAAGCCAACACCATGTCTGTGACTTAACAGTCCTTTAATGCCTTAGGGAAGCAGCAGTTGTGTTTCAGAGACCACAATCAAGCCATGAACTGGTTCCATGAGCACAAAAAGATGAAATTCATATGGCTTCAGCTACCCAGAGTAGTAAAACCCTGCTCATCTCTTCCCCAAGGTTGGCAACTGGGGGGCTCTGGGGTGATGGAGGGGACATCAAATGGATGCACCAGCAAAGCCTGGGAGCCCTCAGTCCTGTTCAAGGGGTGTACCCACAGACACCCAAGCATGACGTTCCTCCCTTGAAATCCTGTTTCTCTAAACAAGCCGCTGGCCATGATGACAGATTACAGGGTGGAGGGGCGGTTCCCTGCCCTGGGCTGGATGTGGCTGTGCCCCCAGGGCTGGGGAAGGACCAGCAGCAGCAGAAGGGCGGAGGACGACGCTCAGACTGGGGAGAAGGGAGTAATGAAGTGTAAAACGAAGGGGCAGTTGCCCTCACAGCAGCCAGGAGTCTCATCTCACTAACATCATGCCAGCAGAGCAGAAAAGCTGATTTAAAAAAACAAACCTGACAGAAATCTCATCTCCTCGGGTGAGCTAGTTGAGAGAGCAAATTTTTTGCAATTAAATATCAAGGCATCAGTCAAAGGGGACTTGATTAACCATTTCATTGGCTGCATAATTGGAAACAAACTGTTGTATAATTAATAGAGTTACTAGGAGGCAGGCAAAGTCCATCAGGAGCCCTACAGGTAACTCTTAATGGGGAATCAGCTCCTTTTGATTAAGAGCTGCTACAGCGATGGCAAGTTGTGAAGCAGTGGGCAGGGCGTGCTGAGCAGCACCCACCACGCTGCCACAACCAGCCTCTGGCCACCACCATACTGGTTCTCCCCCAAGCTTTCTGGGGCAGTACCAGGCTGGTCTCTGTCTCCTGTGGCAATAAGAGATGGCTGAAGGGGAATCTCTTCCCAAAAGAAAAGGGAACGCTGCATCTCAGCACTGGCATCAGCTCCCGAGGAGGTGAAAATTCACTAGCAAGATCCAGGTACATCTGATTTACCACCCTTAGCAGCAACAACCCAGGGCAGCAGCTGGACTGGCAAGAACTCATAGATTCTGCCACAAACCTGCTACTGGGGACACTCCTCCCCATCAATCTCCACGGAAGCTCTCAGCCCCCACGCTACACACTGAGCAAAATATCTACAATGACAGTCATGCAGAAATTAAAACCCCACATGCCTGAAAGGTGCCCGAGCTGGAACCAAATGAGATTGGTCTGAGAAGTGGAAGAGGAGCCTATTCCCCCTGCCTGCCTCCTCTGCCTCTCTCAAAAAGAGAGTTGTATATCCTGGGATGCTGAGGTGTGAAAAGATTCCCAAACTGCTCACGCATTTATCTACTCATCTTATCTCAGCCTTATGGAAACAATGCAGTCAAAGAAAACCTGTGTTGAGTGTAGAGAGACCCAGGTTTGTCACCTGCTGTAAGGAGCCAGGACCACTGATTATCAAGATGCAAGTACCCAAATGAAAATTAATTATGATTTTCATTCACAGCCAATGACAGCATATTATTGCACTGAACAACAGGAAAAATTATTCTCTCCCATTTTGCATCAAAGAGGGTGCAATCGGGCTGCATATAATTGTGCTTAATGAATGAAAACAAACAAAGGGAACAGCTGCGATTTATTAATCCCATTACAAATAATAAAAGAAGTTCCTGAGAGCTGTGAACACACTTGTGATGCTTGGAGAGCAGGCAACAGCAAGACACTCAACAGATGTCAGACTGCCGTTAGTGCACAAGAAGAGGACCTGAACCCCTAAAGAGCAGCTCATTAATGCCACGTGGTCCCCTCACACGGTTCCCTCCCTGCTGTCACCCAGTGTTTGGGGGATTTAAGGCTTGAGGGACACGGCACCTTCCCAAGCACCAGGGTTTTTTCCCATCCCTGTAGGAAAGTCAGGACCTCCTCTCCCTGTAGATCACCTGGCTCCACAGGCCTTTGGCCACCATGATTCCAGTGCTGACCTTAAATCCAGAAGCCAGGTTGGCTACAACCTGCCTGTGGACTCCCTAAATTCACACCCCAAAGAGGTGCTGGGAGAAGCCTCTCAGGATTGTTGCAGGGTACAACAGGGACCCCGTTTCCTTTCCTGTCTTTCTCCAAGTGGGGAAATGTTCTGGTACTCTGTCACCTAAATAAGCCACCATTCAAACGTAGTCATCAAAACCCTTCATTGAGACAATAAAACCTATAATATCATGCTATATGTATAAATCCATATTTTACTGTAGTTACATATTTTATTGCTTTAATAAGATGTGGGGTGTACATTTGAACAGTGCTTTAAGAAATTAATTTGTATAAATTACAACAGAGGGGTTTTAAACCATCCTTACTGACGTTCACAAAACAAGCACTGAAGAGACCACCACATCCTCTAGCTTCCCTGGGGAGTGGAGCTAAACATCACTTGTACAGTTCCACAGTGCTGATACCTCCATGGTGCCAGACTGGTGGCAGTGGATAGGGGAGGAATGCTGAGATAACGCCACGAAGTCTGCAGCCTCATGGAGCTCGTGCGCCAAATGTGTAGAAAAATAGGTGTTTTGCACATTACTCATTGCAGAAAACGTGGGGAATGAAGCGCCATCTACCTCAGCACCTGGCTTCATGACTCCCAAACCTTTTCTACTCCACCAGCTCAAGCACGAATATGGACTACGTTACTATCCCGCATTTCATGGTGTGTTTTTCTACAGGAAAGCGCAGGGGACTGCAGAAACAAGGACAAAGTTGCAGCCCAGGCCTGACTCTGCATTGCCACATCTTACCTCGTCCTTGTACTTGGTGATGTAGGAATAGATCTCGTGCAGCGCGCTCATACTGTTGAACTGGCTGAGGTGCAACCGCGACTGCTCCGCCAGGTACGCACTCATGTCCTGGTCACTGATCGCTGGCATTTTAGCTATATCTGCATAATATCTGCAAGGCAGGAACAGAGGAGTGGGTCAGAGATAGGGATGGGCAGAAGAGGATGTGTCCCTGCCACAATGCTTGCTGAGAACAGCCACTGCAGAGGCAAGTGAAGAGCATCTTGCCTCGGAGCAGTGACATCCCATGATCACCCATTAAAACACTGCTTCTCATCAAGAGGTCTCTGAGCACTCCATGGAGCAGTCAGCATCATTAGAATGTGCTCCTGAAGGAATAGCACCCAGCCCAGTCCAGCCCAACATGCTGGGAAGCCAGGAGATGTTGCTCTGAGGGATTTCCCAACTTCTCCTAAACCACACATTTTTCCTCCTTCCCATCCCACTGGCATGTTTAGCCACCAAACTGCATACACGAGGACCCTCCACACCTGCAGCAACATGCAAGGCTTTGTTACCACCCTCCTAAGGTCAGTGTGTTGCTAAAGCCAATAATGCCCCTTTGCTTTCCATTAAATACTAGGGGTGTGAACACAAGACAAGGTCACATCCCGCCCTTGCAGCAATACATGCATGGTGGCAGTGGAAAAACAGAATATCCAACAGGATGTTCACCACATCCCAGAGACATCAAAGCTGCAGCAACCCATTGTAGAAGGAGGGTTACACCAAGCAGATGCACCAGTGGACTGGCTGCTGAGGTCCTTTTGGAAACCAGGGTTGTGTCCTCAGGCCTCATTTAAAAAGAAACCCTACCCACAGCAAACAAGCCCTAGCTGTTCCCACCACCTGGAAATACAGAGTGCCAGTCTCTCCCAGGTTTGCTGTACTCCTCATGATTCCTCACTCAGTGAAGTTTCTGGTACAGTGATTAGCATCATTAGTGTCATCAGCTGAACGCTGAGATGGAACACGGCTGAAGCACTTGGATAGGAGCAGATGGCAGCAAGACCACTTGAGGAGATGAATATGAGGATCCACTCCATCCCACAGCACTGAACTCAGTTAGTGATAAACTACTTGGGCAGTTTTTACACAGAGGCTCATTCACACCCAGAAAATGATGCAAGAGAATTCTTAGACTCTGCCAGGAGAGCAGTGATCTGTGGTGAGGACCTCTGACAAAACTAGCCATCTGCTACACCCCTAGAGAGATCACCCCAGAGTGACATCTCCTAGAGCAGCAGTTTTATATTCTGGGTTTTATCATGACACACAGGATGGGAGGAAACCATCATTTCTCAATACAAGTGTGCATGGCTTGTGTGGACCAAGATTCCAGTCACACCTACCATTTCCAGAGGACACCTAATGTGCCACATCTCCAGCATCACGACCCCTTGTGTTTCCCCAACTCCTAAGCCCTTCACTGCGCTGTTCCTTCCTCAGCCTGACAAGATGCCCTGTTTTCAGCTGGTTCCAGAACCATGGCAGCAGACAGACCTACAGGTGGGACCATCAGTCCCACTCAGCCACCTTCACACCACTCCTGTCCCATCTCTGCAAAGCTTTGTGAGGCAACCACGCCAAAAGTCAGAAATGCTGATTATGCCATAATTCCCTGCAGCAGAGGAGCAGTAGGAGATGCAGTCACCCCTTGCACAGGTCATCTCTGCCCCCTGCTCAGCTGCCTCTGGGACCATTCCAGAGGTAAGTATTGGCAGGAACGTCTGTCACGAATGAGATCTCCCACCTCCTCCCCAGGGACGCAGCGTGTCTAGACCAATGTTTAACTCTGGAATGGTTTTATACCTTTTTTCCTCTAGGCACACATACAGAGTTGAATATTTTTGTCATAGAGATGGCAAGGTCAGAGAAATTCACCTTACGAAGCTTGTGATGTTCCTGCGGGACCCCACTCCAAAGACCCATCCAGCCCCATGCAAAGAACTTCCTCCTATTACAATGCAGCTCATCTCTCATCTCAGTCATCGTATTTCAGGGGCATTGTCTCTTCTGATTCAAGCCCTATCTTCCTCAAGGGAAGAAGCTTGTCTTTGTAACTGCCTGCAAAGCACCAGGCATGCCAATGGCATGACAAAAATATCTGTGTACAAGCAAGTATCCAAACGATGATTTAGGCCACAAAGTCCCATCTTTACAAACTAGAGAATATGATGTTTATTGTTGCCTGGACATCTTTCATTTGGTTCATTCTGTATTCGGTTAAGATACTGAATAAAGGAAGGGTCCTCAGTCAAGGAAAAAAGGCACCATCTTTAGCCCAGCACATCACCACAAAGGAAAAGTTGCATCAGCAACCTGAAATCTGCCATTTTTTAAGTTTTATGAAGTTCCACTTCACAAAATGGCAACATTTTAACAGTAGCTCTATTTGGAGGGCTTTGGAGGACATCTAGGTTTCTCTCCCAAAAGGATAAAGCTAAACACAGCCTGAGTGCATCAATTTGCAATCAGTAGCATTCAAACCCTGCACCTTTAACACTGCATTAATTCAGCGGGACAGGGGGATGTCTCTCATCGGCTCAACAGGGAAGGTGGAGGGTGTCAAAAGGAGTCAGGGGACCTGCTCCTCTCCCTGGTCCTCGGCAGAGAGACAGCAGCCTGAGCACTGCCTCAGAGCATGTACTCTCATCAGGATCCCAGGTGACATGTACTGACGGATGAGAGAAGGGAAACGATAATTTTCAAGCATTTCAGCAAAATCTGCATGTATTGTCATGGTACAGAAAAGGCACTTCTCTAGTCCAAGGCTGACTTTTCATTGCTCTTCGAAAGCAACCAAGGAAGGTGTTAGTAATTCCCTAGCACAGACCAAGCTTTTACAACAGAAAACGTCAGACAAACTAAAAGGGGAGGTTGCTTTCAGCACCCCTTAAGCAAGTCATAAATGGCTCTGTCAAAGAGCCACTGCAAACTCATTCCAGGAGACAATCATGAGAAAGCATCATCTCCCAAACAACAGGATCACCTTCCACAAGCACTAGTACAGTTCTTCTTCAGACAGCTGCCAAGAGGAGCCCTCCCAACAACAGCAGTCCCCACATTCACAAACATCCACGGTAATTTCCCCAGGTGAAGCAAGGAGCTGTTGCCAAGTCTACTCACCTTTCTACCCAGCTCTTGTAGTTGGGGATGTCCTTGGCGTACAGTAGTTTGTTGGAGGGAGAGTCTTTTCCTAGCTTGTGCTCAGAAGTTGAGCAGGAGTCCATGAATGTCTGAGCCACCACGGATAGGCAGGCATCAGTAATACTGTTCTTGTGAATGTCGAACACAAACTGGGGGTTCTTAATCACATTCACCCAAAAACGTAGAGGTAGACTGAGGGATGAAGGAAATAGGAGTCAGCACCTGAACCAAGCCCTGCAGGGCAGCTGGCACATACATGCAACTCCAGTTGTGGAGAACGAGCTCCCCATGACCCAGAATTGGGTAGGTTGCTTTTCCCAGCGCTCCAGGGATGCAAACATCCTGGGTAAATGGCCATTCCCCCCTGCCCACCCTCACAAGGCCACAGTTCTTCGTGAAAAGGTTCCTCAGCACTGCCAGAATCTCCAAAGGCAAATCAGGGCAGCACAGATCTGTGGTTTCTCCAAGGATCCACTCACACTGAAGAGACCTTGCTGAGCCTCTGGGTCTAACCAAGCACGGTCCCCTTCTCTCACTTCAATAATCCCTTCGAAGGCGCTGTGTGGCATTTCACACATCTCCCGTGTCGGAGAAGGGAGTTAACTGGCCTCCTCAAGGGACTCATTAGCACATTTAACACCAGAGGAGAATTTAGGCAGCCTCAGATGCTGGAAATAAAGCTCTCAGCTGTAGAGGCAGCGGGTCTGCTGGCGAGCCACTGACTGGATGTTTCCTGCATACTGACACACATGCCACCCTCCATGGCACTGTTTCCCAATCCTGCTGTCCCTCTCCTCTCCCAGGAGCATCTCAGAGCCTCCCCCCACCAGAAAGCCTCTCTGCTCTGTCATTCCCTAGCACCTACACTCAGCGAATGCTTTTATCTAAGACAAAACACACTTTGTTCCCCAGGACTTTCCTAATGAGGGTACTGGGTGCATGTACATATTTCATTTGTGAAGGGAATGGCCTGGAGAAATTAGCTCCACACGTCGAATTAGTGCCCAGAGATAAGCACAGGCATTAGTATGCAGGAGTCTGCGTGCCCAGCCCCTGAAGAGCGGGGCTTTTTTTTCCTCCCTTGCCTTTCGCTCCTTCTTTTAATATAGGAAGCCGAGTTATAAATCAGTTCCAAGCACTTCTGCGCTCTCACATCTCCATTTAAAAATGTTTCTTTTCCTGCCCTGCTAATTGCAAACAGTTACTGAACTACACAAAAGCAATTTGGCTGCCATTTAACAAATGCCAGACACGGGAACGTACGTACCCATCTCCAGTCATGGCAAGATCAGAGAGATGAAATCAGTGAGGCAGCAGAAATGAAAAATGCCAAGGGGGGCTGCAGAGCCAACGCCTGCTGGAGCCCCGGCCCCAGCACGGCACCCAGGGAGGGCTCATCAGCTGCTCCGCCCTGCTTTTCAGCCAGTGATTAGCAGAGCCGAGGGGGCTGGCTCTGAGGGCAAGGTTAGGGAGGATGTGTACTCGGCTTTGTGCTGACTTCGTTAAGGCACGCTCGGCTGAGTGGCAGGAAGGAGTGTGGAAACACCTTCAGGACAGCGGAGATGAGAATTGGGACTGGCATCCCCAGAGGAGCCCGGAGGATGGAGAAGGCCAAGGTGAGATGGAAACAGAGCTGCTGTGGTCCTCAGCAACTGCAGCCGTCAGGGGGAGCGTGGTGCCTGGGATTTGGGGATGGAAGGGCTGAGGGAGCATTGCATTCCTGGGATTTTTTCTGATGAAGGAAGGCATGCAAAGGATTTACCCACACCGGAAATAGAGAGATATGGGCCTCTCTTGTCCTGGATCATTTCCAGGTACATATTTTTGCTCCCTGTGGGAGGGATTGGAAGATGTGATATTGTTAGACCCCCCTATCCCACTGTCTCCCTCCATTACCAGTTACTCTTCCAGGTGTGCCTGACATCATAATCATTGATCTGATGCTTATCAGCCTGTTCATCCAGGAAATCAAACATGTATTTGATGGCGAGAGGCAGAGCACTCCCACGGTGAGCTGTGCTGAAGATGGTCTCAAACAGATCATCCACGAACTTCTGCAAGGTGCCCTGAAGAGGAGAAAGAGAGAAGGGCTGCTCAGCAACACCCAGCACCAACAGAGAGCCGCGTCTTTAACTAATGGTCGACCTCTAAACCAATTTCACTTCTATTCCTACAGCTGGAATAGCAGCACAATACAATCTGTGTAACCCTACTGGTTCTCAGTGATTTATGCTGGAAAATAAACACTGCAATGATGAGGTGTCTCCTTCACTGTTTTGCTAAAAGCATATGAATAAAAACACCATACAGAGCAAAAACCAAGTGAATGTGATCTGTTTTGGGTCCCATTAGGATACCCAAGAACTGATGACAGACATCACCAAAAAGAGCCCTCGTCCCATGAGGGGTCCCAAGTCACAGAGGAGATGGCTAAGGCCAGTCTCTGCAATCCTGAGCCAATATCTTCAGCACAGCCCTCTGATCCTCTCTAGGAACATCTCGGACACGCAGCACCCACTCAGCACTGGAAAAGGTTTGTATGTAGTGAATGAAGGGGGACCTGCTGTGAGGCCAAATGCTCAGGGTAACTACTCTTCCCACGTCACCAATCCTGCACCTTTATCCCAAACACCAAAGAAGATGAATGCCCTGTCCCAGGGCACCTCTGCTTTGCAGACCAGCAGCTAGCTGCTCACAGATATAAAAACACCAAAGGATGCAAAAAGCAGATTGGAATATCCACTCAAGGGATACTCACCAAAGGTTTTGCCATACAGCTCCAGCTCAGGAAAGAGACTAACAGAGCAGCTCCTCCTGTGCGGGAGCAGGCAGCTAATAAAAAAGCAGCACTTACCACTTTTGGACAGTGCAAATCACTACCCTTCCCCACCCAGATTTCAAAAGGCAGGCAGCAGCTCTGTGCCTGTGAACCATACCTTGGTGGCTAACAGACGGGTTAGGTAGATTTCTGAGACCATCTTGCTGCCCCGGTCACCCTCCCGCTGGTCCATGTGGTCATGGTTTTTCACCAGGTGCCAGAGCTTGGTGCCGCTCTCCAGGTCGGGGGTGATCATGGGGGTCCGTGAGCGCAAGCTGTCGGGGCTGCTGGCTGTCCTCAGCATGCTCTCTGCAAGCACCAAGCAGAGGTGGATGCTCATACCCTGCCCACACCTCTGCCTTGCCACCAGCCCCATCACTCCCCTTCCCTCCACAGGAGCTTTGGGATCCAGCCTCTGCAGCCACCACGGATTGGGAGCTCTGCTGGGACCATCCTCACAGCCTGCTGGGCCACACGCAAGCCTGTCTGATGTACAGGGGCCAGGACCACTGTGGAAGGAATTTTTCAGAGTCCTGTCTTGCTCCCAGCACAGAAGTGGCAGGACCACAGATGCCTCCTGTGTCAGTCTGAGCTGACCACACTGTGCCCTTCCAAACCAAGGCATATTCGCTGCAGTCTTCCAACTCTGCTCTTTTAAGTGCTAAGTGCCTCTGTGCCTATTTTAATTAGATTTCAGGGGAATAAAAGGAAGGGATCCCTTAACAGCAGCCATCTCACACGTGTCTTTCTCCCCTGAGTCCAAAACACTGCAAAGAGAGATGGCTCTGGGCACATCTACTCCTTCTCAAACACCAGAATAAATAGGATGGTGCAGGAGAGCTGGGAGTTTGGAGGACTTTGTTCACGTGAGCCACAGTTAGAGTCACCTGCCCTGTGCCTTGGTCTGCACGCCCAGCCCGGTGCCACCTCCCCTGCCAGCCCAGTGGAGGATGCCCCAGCGCACTCACCATATCTGCTGAGGGACTTGGTGAAGGTGGAGGAGTTGGAGATGTTGTATGCTGAGTTCTGCTTGGGCACCAGGGCTACCGAGGAGCCGTCTGTCACCTGGGGGCAGAGATGGTGTGAGCAGGCTGCCACACTGGAGACACACAGGGGGAACAGTTCCGGCACAGGGAGAAACCGGCTCCGGTGGGATGAAGCTACAGTGCCACCCATACCAGGGACATCATCTACAGCAAAGGGGACCATCATATCTCTGTGACAGCCCGGGGGAAGGGGTGGAACACACCAGATACCTTGGCATGAAAAAGGCAAAGTAAGGTCAGAGCTGGAAACAGCCTCTGTGAGCCCTGGAGATGCCCCATTTAAAAGGACCATAAACATGGGGCCCAGGCAGGAAAGTGACTGCAGACCTCCTGGCCATGCTCCTGGAGAGCTGAGCCTAGGCCCTGACCCAGCTGAGGAGGGAGAATAGATGCTCAAAGGAGCTGATGACTGCTCAGAGCTCTCCACCACGACAGCCTTTACCTGGTAGTGGGCCAGGGTGTTCAGCCTCTTCCAGTCATTGTCGATCTTTGTGGTGACATCTTCGTCCTGCAGTATGATCCGGGCCATCCTGCCCTGCCGCCACTCTGTCCCCATGAGGAGAAGGGCTCGTGGTTAGCAGGTGATAGGAGCACAAAGGCAAGGCGAGGGTAGGAGCACAGTCTGGGAATCTGCCAAAGAGCCCTTCCAGCCCCTTTTGAACCCCAGGACTGGTGACTATCAATGTGTTGGGTAAATCCAAGTACTCAAGGAAAGAGCCTGGTGACTGTTTCCTTTGCTCCTCTCCATTCTCCTGTCCCCCCTTTAGGAACAAGATTAACACTGCAGGCCTCCTTGGGCCTCAGACACCTCAAGCCTGCAATCCAGACCACAGTCAGAGCTGAGGAAGCTCCTCTCCCTATTCCCTCTACTGGCAGGACTCACACTCATTCCAGGGCTCCCCACACACAGCCAGTGCCACCAGCACAGCAAAAGTGGACTGAACAAGCACAAATGTGCTCCTGTATGAGAACAGATTTTCCTGCCTTGAACAGTTTTTTTGGCACTTCTGCTCTTAGTCATATCCCTGCTCCGCACAGGGAAGTGCTTGGCTTCTCTCTTACCCAGGTCCATGTCTCCAGCTTTGGGTCGCTGGGAATAGGGCACACCCTTGTAGACAGCATCCAGCAGCTTCTCCTTCACCTGTGTGATGGTGTCACAGTTCAGCACCTTGACAGGGATCTCCGGGGCGTTCTCATTCTCAGGATTCACGCAGTTGAGGGTCTGCACAGCACAAGGGAGGTCAGAAAGGCTTGAGTGAGGGGCTGTGATGCACTGGCTGCAAAGGCAGGTTCAGGGACGTGAAACTAGAGCTGTCTAGAGGTCATGTCTTCTCACCTCCTGGGCTGCTGTGGAGCTGCAGCCACACCACACATTCCTGCTCTCCCTTTCTGCTTTCCTCACCTCTCTCTGCCACCCTCAAATCTCCAGGTATTCCCAGAAAGGGAGCATCATATCAGTGGAGGAATGCTGGGCCAGCAAACTTCACTTCAGTGCACCAAAACCTGTCTAGACTGAGCAATGCCCAGGCACACTCCACTCCCCTCCCAAATCACCCCAGTGAAGAATCAGCTGCAGGCTCAGCCAGGGGAAGGGCCTGGCTTATCACTTAGCTGGACTGAGGAGAGGGCTCATAATGGAGGAGAATCCTCTCCATCTCTGGCAGTATTCTCAAGGTTCTAGCTTTGATCCCCACCCAACACGAGCCTTGGACTGCTCCAAGCAGCACATGTTCAACAGTCCCTCTCACCCATACCTGTCACAGTCTTGGGGTTTGCTTGGAGAGACATGGAGCAGGATCCAGTTAATGTTTGGCTTTCTCATGCCCATGGTTAGAGCAAACTTTGCCAAGCAAAGGCCCTGTTTCTGACCCTGGCTGAGATGGGCACCACTCAGACAGAACAAGAAGCCCCTCAGGGATGCCAGAAAGAACAAGGGACAAACCACTCCCTGAGAAGTATTCTGTGTGCCTTCAAGATCTTGTTAAATAGCTGGACCTGGCAGTCTTGACAAGCACCAGTAACAGTGAGGCTTCTGCTTGCACTAACCAGCATTTTGTAGTCAATCTGCTGCCGGATAAGCTTGTCCTCACTGAGGGAGTAGCGAGCCTCTCCTGTGATGGCATCAATGGGTCCCTTCTCCATCTGCTGCTTGATGGCACAGTAGAGCATGAAGAGTGGTTCCCCAGCACACTCCTGCAGGACAGGGGATGAAGGAGAGGGAGAGAGAGGGGTGAGAAGGTGCCAGGCACCAGCTTTGTCTTGCAAGAACCACCACCACGTCAGGAGCCTGCTGTGGCCCTGCAACATCAAACTTCATTATGTGGCTTTACAAAGAGACTCCAGCTTAAGACTACAAGAAAGGGAGCCCATGGTAAAATTCATCCTGTGGAGGGAACTCATTCTCTCCTTCCAAGCCCACTGAAGGTGCTGCCTTGTCTACCAACACCTAGACTCAGTTTCACAGAGTTTCCAGACACTCCTCTGTGAGCTCTGCTCCTTCTATAGGCCAAAGACAAGCTAAAAAGGTTAAATTCAGGGCTAGTGAAGAGTAGGTTGGGTCTGTGGATTTTTTGTATGGGATACAGCCTGTCTATTGACCTGCACCCTGAGAATCCCAGTGATGGAAGGGACCAGGCAATGAGGTTTCCTGCAGTTAAATCATTTGCCACCTACATCCCCCCACTGCAAACCCCTGTAGTCAGAGCCAGCTTTAGCCACCAGACAGAGCCACACCAGCATCTGCAAGGAAGGGAAAGGGAAACTGGACCAGACACTTTCCCCCAGAGATGCTGGATTCAGGAACAGGAAAGGACATGACAAGGTTGGAGGCACCAACCAGCCTGGAGCAATGAGTTGGTATAGGGGGACTGGGAGTGGACACCCCTTTATCACCCAGGGCCCAAACATCTCCCCTGAGCTGCATCGCAGTGGGCCCTTGCAGACACAGGAATTGGCCCTAAGGGAGAATGAAAGGTATGATGGGAGCAGAGGGGATGGGGAGAAGCCCCAGCAGATTTTACCCCACCAGCCCTCGTCCCTCCCTCCTGGCCGCCTCACAAATAAATTGTACTTTGGTGCAAAGTGCGGCTGCTCTCCCTGTCACCATATGCTGTTAGCATCTCGTTAGCATCTGCGGTAATTAAAGAGACAGCTGCTAACGAGCAGGAACAGGCATACATCATCCCCAGACCTTCCGACAACATGCCTGTCTTTGAAATTATGTTTCATTTGCAAACTTGGCTTCATTAAGTCAGCTTGGAAAAGTGAGAGACCCAAGTGGGCGCTCGGCTGCGCATCACTGGCTGCCCAGCGAGGCAAGGCTGACCAGAGTGGTGAGCCCCCAGGGGTCCCACGGCACCCCAGGCTACCCCTCCAGAGGACCTGAGTTGCTTCTTTTGGTTGCTTCTAAACACTCGTTGTGAAACTTCCCAGTCTGTGGAAGTGGTGTGGATGGAGGACAGCCTGGAGTAGGACTCCCTGTTCCCATCTCAACGAACAGCCTTTCCCTCTCCAGTAAGGCACAGGTGCTGTCTTGCCAACTGCAGTTCTGCACCCCCCTCTGGGATCCACACCAAGGCAGGTGGGTTCAGTCCTTACCACACTGGTATCCCAGTTGCTCTCCAGACATCACAGCATCACTTCCTCTGCTCCTTGAATGCCAGCTGAGCTGACAGGAAATAAAGCTCTCTTTTGGATGCATGGATTGGAGCTAGCCCTACTGCCTCCCAGGAAGGATGGAGGCATCAGTGGTTCATTTGATGGGTACGCCACTCCTCCAGCACCATGCAGGCTTTTGCAGGCTCCTGTGTGCCCTGGGATTCTGGTCTCCTTCTGACCTGTCAGACACCTTAATGTCAACCAACACAGCCCCTCTGCCCTGTCCCCCTGACTCTGTGCATCCTCCACATTGCAGCTCGGCTGACCCACCTGTTCTGAATGTGGGTCCTACCCTCAAAATGCAGCACCTCACTCCCAGCCTCACTGGCCCCACCAGCTCTTGAAGACCAGGGCCAGGGTGCTGCTGTGGGTCACAGTGTGCTGAGACACCACAGGTGAGGGTGGTTTATGGATCATCCCTGACTGAGACCAACAGAATGAACAGGGACCAAAGACAGCAGTTGACCCAAGATGAAGTCCATCAGGTGAAATTCAGCAGGGGACCACTGAGACAGGGCCAAGTTGCCCCTCAGGTTGATGGAAGGGAGCTTGCCCCCTAAATGTGGCTGTGCCCACACTGCCAGCCCTAATGCAGTTTGCTCACTGCTGGGGGCCTGACTGAGGAGGGCTTTGGAGGGGGGGGCTCTCTCTGAGAGCCAAGCTGGAGGAGGGCAGCTGCAGACACCCCATACATGCCCGTATTGGTATGTTAGGAGCAGGCTGAGGCAAGCCAGCGAACTCCCAAACTGTCTTACTGACTAGATCTAGCTCATCAGGCACCTAATATTGTGCATTTTTCAGCACTTGTCTCAATTTATCCGTCTCCCTTTCCCTGAGGTGTCTCATTAAGAGTCTGATAAATGCTTCTACAGGGTCCTGCTGAAAGCGCCAGTCCCCACTGGCTCCCTACGCCGCTGGCCCTGGGCATGAGGGGCTGTCCTGTCCCTGTCCCTCACCCCAGCATATCTCAGCCATGTGATGTTGGATGCCCGGCCCTGCTCCAGGCAGGTTTGCTGAGAGTTGATCTGGCAGCTGGGCACGCGGCCGCCTGCCTCATTTGCACACACAATTAATGCAGTTTGGGGCAGTTTCCCTGCTGGCAAACTGTCTGCTGTGATACTCTCCATCTACTCCACAGGCTGCTCCTGCTTTTGATGCCACCTGTGATCCTCATGGCCAGGAGACAGGTGGAAATCGCCCCGTGGGTCTCCTCTGACCCAGGAGAGGCCATGAGCACATCCTCAAGACTCTTCCAGTCTAACTCAAGTGACTCAAGAAATGGAGTTTCAACCACTTCCCGGGGAGATGAATGCCAGCATAACAAATTTCACAGCCAGCAAGTTTATTCAGACCCTCTGTGTATGTAAGGGTGCATGTAGATCAGACCTCTCTCCTGCTGCTAACACCACCCAGAGGTCGGAGGCATTTTCCCACGCCAAAGTCATGGTGCAGCGAAGGACTTCATAAAAAGCACTGCCCTGGTCCCATCCCCACATCTCTCACCTGCTACTCCTAATCCTCAGATCTGCCCTGCACTGGTGATGCACCCAGAACCCTCTCTGAAGGGGAACAGGGCTATACAAAGACAGATGCAGGACAGTGATGGTACGGGAGCTGATCCAAAGCAGTTTCTGAACAAGGTGACCCCTGTCACCTGCCCACATGGCCCAGCCCAGTCAGGACAGGCCAAGGAAGTCAGGTCACACACATGAATGCAATGTCCCCAAACACCACTGTTGGGCTTCATAGCCCAACTTCACTGTTGCACTTTGCTTGGCCAGTGCACAACCCTGCCCACTTCAAGGAGCTTTGAGGGAGTTTATCCACAAGGAGAGCTACTCCTGCCTGTCCCACCGAGTCCTCAGAGCCCAAAGAGCCATCTGCCAGTGCCCTACCTGATCCCACTGGGCACTGCTGCTGCAGGGCCCCGCTGGGCAAAGCCCTGGCACAAAGAGGTGGATGGAGGTTTGACATCTCCCCATGACCAGCACAGCTCCTCTCCTTTCCCACCTCTGGCAAACGATCTCCACTGCACGCTAGCTAGATTTTTATAGATACAGGCTATCCCTCGACAGAGGCAAAAAGCCAAGTGCATGTAAGTGATATTATAAATCACCTCTCATTGACGATCACTTGAGTTCTGCTCAGACTACTGCTCGCTCTCATCTCTTGGCTGGAAACGGTTCAAACTCTCTTTATCTTAATGAGGGATGAAATCCCACAAAAACGGCTGCGTGCCACCCAGCCTCGCTGCACCGACACCAGGCAGGATCCCGAGAAACAGCTCTGCGGACTCACAGACCAGCAGCAGGACTGCAGGTGCCGTTCACCCTGACGGAGCCATCCCAACGTGGTAGCAGGACTGAGCCAGGGGTGCATGGGCTGGAGCTGCTGCTGTGTAACCTACATGGCCACTGGTGCAGCTCCAGCAGGTGGAAGCACTGGTCCTGGTGGAATAAATGTTCTCAATACGGGTAGATGAACAAGTGGTAAAAACAGAGCTTACGCTTTGACATCTTCTTCTGCTACCCCAATGAAACTAGGAAAAAGGTGAATTCAAGCTAACACAGTGGAGAGCTGTGTCCCTGGCTGTCAACAGGTCCCTCGGGGCATTCATCCCCAACGAGGCACCCTTTGCAGGGGAAGCAGCAGCATTAGAGATGCCTGCAGGAAACAATTCCCCTACCATGGAACCTCAGTGTTGGAGAGATGAAGCCGCAGTGTTACATGAAGAGTGCAACTCATCAAACTACAACTTGAACAGGCAGAAATAGCCTCCAATCACAGTCATGCCTACAGAAGGACCTGCTCCCAGGGCTTTTTCCGCCTGAGTTACACAAGCAGAGACAAGGAGAGAGAAATGGGGACCACTCCAAGACTCAGCTGAGTTGCTTCATATTTATCTTTCCTCAGGGCACCATTGTTAAGATCTCAAACCCACTATGCATTAAGCAATCCCAATATGGATTTCATTTCTCAAACTCAGCTATTTCCCAAAAAGGAGACCCAGAATTATTAATCACATCTCAGAAAACCAGGATGGGAACGGGGGTCTGGGAAGCAATCTCTGCTCCAGGAGGGAGTGGCAACGCTCAGGAGCATGTTAGTCCAGGCTTTGGGTAGCACTCTGCCTGTCCTGGCAAGGCAGAAACCACCTCCCTCTCCACACAGGGTTGCCATCCTTTCCCAAACTCACCTTCAGAAACTTGTACAGCAGAAACGTGAACCAATTCGTCAGCATCTTCTCTGCCACTGACTCTGTTCTGTAGGGAAGGTAGAGAGCAAAACCATCAGCAGAGAATATTAAAGGTCTCTGTTCTCACCCATCACCACATGGTGGGTCCAAATAGGATGTGGGTACCTCAGGGTGCTGGTACTGCAGCCAGGATGTGCCACACCAGCAGAGAGAGGGACAGCCTGGCATGGAGGGAGCTGAGGGTGACACCAGAGCCAGGTTGAACTGTGCAGCCCTACAGGTAGAGAGAGCTTAACATGCCTGTCTCTGCACCACACCTTATCTTGCTGCCTCAAGATTAAAATTCCCCTTAACACATCTATTATTTTTATCATGGCTTTGGCTTTCATTCCTTTTAAAGTAAAAATGCCAGCGAGTCCCCCGACCCTTTCTGGTTAGGCTTCTTCAGCTTATCCACGCATTAATCATCAGATCAGCCACTTGCAAACGCAGACGCTCCTGAAAGCGCAGGCAATACTAATAACCTCAGGGACATGGCTGCACTCCTCTTGCACCAGGGAAACAAATACAAATGGGTTGACTCAAGAAACAAAACCCAGAAGAAACCCAAATGTCAGAGCCACTAGGAGTCCCACTGCCCAATGCCACACACTGCCCAATGGCAATGCCATGCCCAACAGATGGTCCAGGAGCAGATGGCTGGGCTAGGAAATCCACTTTCCCAGAGTTTATTCAAGCTGACTCAGGGTCATATGGCCCCTTCTCTTGTGCTAATGGGGTTTAGCCCTTTTTGCCCCCCTCTGCCCCCAGAACAGCACAGCCCTCCTTAAATCATATGGGGACAGCATCACCCAAGCCTCCAGGGAAGGGAAGACTTCCTGCCCCCAACGAGAAAGATTAATCCATCATGGGGAACAAAAAAAAGGAGAAGGAAAGAGACATGGGGAGAAAGCCAAGGGAGGGGTGGACTGCAGCTATTCAGCAGACACTCTCCCCAGCCCTAGACCAGGTCCTTTGCTGACAAGCCTGTAATGCTCATCTGAAGTGCCACCACTCGAGCCCCGGTGGATGTTTGTCTTTATCCGTAATAGAGCCAGATGCCACAGCAAGGGGGGGATTATCCAACAACAAAATAAATAACAGCTCTCCCCAGTCAGATCAATGTTAATCCAGTTGCCCTGGGCGGTAAGCACACTCTCACACCCAACAGCAGGGCTAATCAACTGCATAGAGAAGCCCAGCCCTCGGCACCGCTTATGCCACGCCACGGCTTCAGGAAGAACAGTGGCTCTTTGTCAAATATCACTCAGGGAGGTGCAAGCAAGACACCTGCCAGGGGACCTCATCCCAGTCGTAACTGCAATGGGCCCTCAAGTGCTGGGGCTGAGGACCAACAGTCCAGCTCTCACTACACTGGCACAGGCTGGGCTCTGCCCCTGTTCTGCCGCTACGGATCAGCCACTGCTGTGCTGGCCTCCTCATACTGCCTTTTATTTATATTTTATTGATTTACTTCAGGAGCTGGAAATGCGTTTTAATATTTCAGGGAAACCTGGTGTCATGGAGGGAGAATCAGAAGGGAAGAGCCTAAGGATGCACTCAGAGAACAGGGATGGGGAACAGCAGTTGGCATCTCCAAGACCCACTCGACTCCCAGTCAGCCATAGGTCTACACCACACACCCCTCTGACACACTGCTAATGAGATGCTTTGAAAAATTAAGGGCACCTTTGTAACACAATACATGAAGCAGAGAGAGAAAGAAAGCAATATGCCTCAAAGACCAGCAACACGGATGTAAGTGGGACCAGCTCACACCTGGGTCTTCTCCAGGTGTTTCCCCACGGTCAAGCACACAAAACATCACAGGCTTTGTCCAATCTGGCCATGCCACAAACATCAGCTGATGTTTGAAAGATGCTCTGGTTTCCTTGTCACCTTCCTGGTGACATGCCAGCCCTGTGCCGCTCGGCCATCCCTGCATCTCTCTGCTGGAGGCTGGTGGCACTGGGCTGGAGGAGGTAGAGATGGGGAGGCACAGCATGGCGTGTGAAGAGAGAAGATGGCACAGAGGGCCTCGAGCTGAACCAGTGGAGCTTATTAATAGTTTTTGTTCAGGACTTGGTGTATCTTTCAATATTCATCAGCCCATGATGAAGGAGAGCTCAGAGCTATCGTTAAATATTGATGGGCCAGGCAGACTCGCAGCAGGGCTTGGCAAGCTGCCTCCTGCTCACACTCCCCCCAGCCCCGTTGAGGCTCCCAGCTTCCAAAAATCCACTTGGCTTTCCTAGGAAAACCCCCATGTGACTGGCAAGAGGGACAAGCCCTGAGGAGAAAGCAGGGAAAGGAGAACTCCTGCCTGCTGCCAGCCCACAAAAGCACCCATGCAGCTGCCAGGCAAGGCAAGAGCCACTCCACATGCTGAGAGGTGTGGGGGACCACCTGGTCACCCGGAGAAGGGAAGGCAGATGAGGGCATCCTTGCATGCCACAGTGCCTGACACCAGTGAATACCCTCCCTGCACCAGCCTGCACAGCTGGCAGCGGCTGAGCACCCTGCTCCCTCCTACCCAGGCAGCATAAGCCCACATGGGCCAAACTAGAGTGAGAACATCCCACGGGTGACTCCTGAGTTGGCTGGGGCCAGGTGGTCTCACATCGCTCTCATACTTGCATGCAAACAGGTAAGGAAATGCCTGACCACAGAACCAGTGCTCACACTGCCACAGCCAACACCAAAGCCATCACTGACGGCATTCCCAAAGGACACCAGCTCGCGTCACCACGCTCAGAAGAGCCTGGGCCCTGTCCCACAGCTCCTGACTCTCAGTTGGTTACTCACCTCCGCAAGAGCAGCTTGGGGTGGTTCTTACTCTCCAGGTTCTTCTCGATAAGGTCAGAGAGGAGCTGCTTCAGCACGCCTGTGGCATACTCCATCTCGCCCTGCAGTGCTGTCATGATGAGGGAGGCCACATTGCCGCGGTCCCGCATGGAGAAGCTCCGCTGAGCCTCCAGAGTGCGGATGAAGGTCAACAAGAAGTGCTTCTTGTTCAGCAGTTGACCAAAGAGGGTCAAGGACTTCTCCACATTTGCCTGGACCTGAAAGGATAGAGCAAAGCTGAGAGACAGGCACGACTGTGACATTTGAAGGTGTATTTCTGGCCGTACTTGGCCATGTAGGACCCAGCAGGGATTGGGCTGGGATGCTTTCATCTACACAGTGCCATCAACAGCCCAGGTCTGGTCAGCCCTGACCACACTCTTTACCAGAAATGAACATTTCCACAACACTCTGTCTGCCTGTTAGAAAAGATTTCCTCTGAACAAAAGCTGTGGTTAAAACTATTCCCTCCCTTGTCTTTCTGATGGGGAGAATAAGCACAAAAATTCATTTCATGTAGGTATTTGGAGAGAAAACAACATTTTTCATTTCAAAATACCAACTCAAAATGAAGAACAGCGTTTTGACACATCAAATCATTTCACTTCAGTCAAAACTTTGGATTGGCACTTTTTAGCTCAGTAAGATTCCTCACAGTTGTAATTTCCCTCTCCAAAATACTCTTTCCCACTGGACAAAAACTCTGTTTTCCACCAAGTCCTTGCCAACTCTGTGATATGGGTCCCCAGGTGACACTGTCACCCTCACTACCCAGGTGAGAGGGAGCACCTGCCTTAGAACATCCCAGAATAGCAATGGAGAGTGAGAAACCCCCTCTGCTCCCATCCTTGGGGCTCCTCTAGTGGGCACCACATGGCTCAATTTCCCCTAATATAGGCCTGAGAATGATGTCCTGCTAGGAATGGAAATGCTTTAAGTTATATTTTCCTGGAGTTTCTCCCTCCAGACACACAGGGACCTTGATGTAATGATTCTGGTAACTCAGCAGATGCCTGAGATCCAGCAGCATGAGCTGCTCCCTGTGGGGACACAGAGATTTAAGTTGATTTCTCAGCATGGTAAGACCTGAGAGCTGGTTGGAGTGCACTAGCTGTACTGCAGACCTACCAGACCCACCAGTGAAACTGGGGCAGCAGGAGACATGCTGCATTCCCACCCCTGTGCACTGCTGGTGCTTTTGCAGCCAAGACCAGTCAAAGCAGACCACAGGCTGCAAAGCAGCAGGACTTCAGCAAGACAGGAAACAGGTCCTGCCCAACAGTGACCATCTCATGAGAGGACATGAAAACTCCATCAAAAGCAGCACAGCAATGTCTGAGGCCCCCCTGCCGTCGCCTCCCTAAGCCCCTGTGTTTAACTTGCTGATCATTAGCAGAAAAAAATGAACAATACTGAATTAAATATTTAATCAGGCTTAAATTCTCACAAAGCAACAAGCTTCCCCCCAAACCCTGCAGAGGAAGGGAGCTGGTACCGACAACCTGGTGCTCACTGCGGATTAGTGTGTGCATGAGCAAGCACTGTTTCCTTCCCGTCACTTGCAATAGCTAATGTTACACTCTGAGTAAAGAGACAAATAAAAGCAAACCTGATTAAATTATATGAAGCTTACACAACTGTAGTTGCTTTATTTAATCTCTTTGGGGGATTTTTTTTTTCCTTTGCAACTTTAACCCCTTGCTTCCCAGGCCAGGCTGAGCTAGCAGGCTCTCTCAAGCAGGATGTTTTGAATTAGGAGCTGGAAGTGGACAAACTCCCACCCAGCCTGTCAGAGCCAACGCAAAATTCATCCTCTGATACCCTTTTTGATACCCTTTACACCCTCCCTCTTTAGGGAAAATCTCTAAGAGCAGAGGTGAGGGGAGAACCAGGCATCTGCACAGACAGGAAGGGCTGTGCCCCAGGGAAGCCTATGATCATGCCTGCTTAGGCTCTGAGCATCCGGAAACCTGAGCTGCAAGGGGAAATCCATGGAAACAGGGTCCCCACCACCCTCCAGAGCTGAGATTAGGAACCAGGGAAAGAGAGCAGGCAGAGGGCCAGGGCCCGTGCTGTAGCCATGCTGGCGCACAACGCCAGCACGTGCGCTTGCAGTTGGTAAGAGCTTGTTGTGTTGTAATTAGTGACCGTGCATCTTGCACCAGGGCCAATTACTTCTCCTAAATACATTGTGAAGCCCACGTCGACATTAATTACTGTGCTGGGTCAGCAGTGAGGGGAAGCGGAGGTCACCCCCCTCCCTTCTCTAATCAAGAGCGGTCTCAGCAGCCCAGCACATGAGAAGCCAATTGCTGTGCAATTGCATGCACTAAATTATACAGAGGTGAGGAGGCTGGGAGAGGAGAAGGAGCTGGTTTGGGGAGCAGGGGAAGGACGCCAAGGATGGGTTCTGCGTGGAGAAATGGAGCCAAGCAAGCAGGCGACGTCAGACAAGCCTGCTAAAAACGAGTGACCGGTCAGGCATCAAACAAACCCAATTGAATAAAGCAAGTGCTGTAGAAAATGACAGCAGCAATGATATTAATATAAATATTGATATTAATGTCAGAGAGCACAGTAACCATTTGGCAGCCGGTCCATATCCACGCTGGCTGCCACGCGGCGAGATGCTCTTTGCTGCACCACGCCGGGCCAGCATCCAACCAAAGCATCTCTCCAGCCCCGTGCCTGGGGCACAGGGACTCATCCCCAGTGTGAAACACTGCACAGACAAACAGATAGACCCACACCTCCATCTCCTTCAGCACAGGGTGGTCTTCTATCCCCGGGAAGAGAACTCGCATGGCGTAGGTACGGTAATCCAGAAAGGGGATGCCAGCCCCGTCCAGGTCGTTAGTGAGCTCGTTGATGTCAGTCTGCAGCTCAGCAAAGGCTGGGGTGGGAAAAGTAGAATTAAACAACACATCTTGGAGACCCAGCACACAGTACTGGCACTCAGCCCACTGCTGCACCCCCAGCACCCCATGGGTGGACCCCCTCAAGGCATGAATATGCTCAGCATCCCTCCTCTTGGCAGGCTGTGATTGCTGTCCCCATCTCACAGATGGAGAAACTGAGCTGCAGAGTGTGGGGATGACATTCCCAGAATAAATCAAGTGGCAGATTTAGGAACAGAATTGCCAGGTCCCAGGGGGCTCAAATCCCCCCTGCTCAACACTTGCAGCCTCCCAGGGATGCTGGGGGCAGTGGGGAACAGCAAGACTTGAACAAAACCAGAGCTTCTGAGGGAAAACGTTAGCCTAAACCACAAGAATGTCCTCATTTCTTTTTGACCTAAATACGACTTGAGAGAAGAACTTGAACACACCCACCCCAGCACCTCCCAATCTGAGCAGAGTCAGTTGTGACTCCCAGGGGAACATGATCCAGGAGGGTCCTGAACCTTTAATTGCACCTACAGGGAAAAGCTGACGGGAGAAGAGCCCTGTAGATGCACCAGGGAAGGGGGTTGTGGTGGGGGGGAGAAAACCCTCAGAAAAATCAAATTAACAGCACTTTAAAGGGAGCTGAAAGCCAGGCAGAGGACTGCAGGCTCGTCAGCCTGATGAGAAAAAACAAACCGTCAGCTTGAAAGGCATGCTATCTTATCTGTAACTAGCGGGACTAGAAAAGAGAAAAGGCAGGGAAGAGATTGTGCCTTTTAATTAAAAGCAGATCCTTTTATCTGCCAGCTGTGGAAGACAAGACACCATCCCCTCCACCAGCTCCCTCCCCTCTCCCTGTCACCAGTGCCATCCGCAGGCATGTGGAGGGTTGGGGATTTGGGGGAGCAAAGGGGTTGTCTTTCTTTCCCCTTTTTATTATCTTGTTTTCGGTGCCTGCTCCATTTGCAGTGCTGGTTGTGGCTGTGGCTGGCAGGGTCAAGGCCTCTGGAGCCAGCTCAGGGGGATAATGGGCAATTAGGTTTTATCAGCAGGATCATACAAGGAATTCTGTCCAATTTCACAGCATCCGTCTGTCACATAATGAGAGACTGACTACACACTCACAGGAAGCCTTTGGTACCCTCCTTGCTCTCTTTTATCCCATTTGGAGAAATGGAGAAGAATTTCTTAACTGGAAAAATCCCCAAATCCCACCCAAAATGAGTTTGCTTCCACTGACAAAGCAGCTTTGCCCATTCCCATTCCCTCTCTAGCAGGCAGGAGCCTCGTAGTGGTAAGAAACCCTAAAAGACCCCCACACTGATGGCACAAGGATCCCTCACCCTCTTTGCACTCCAGGGCCACTCGGGACTCCAGGTTGTCCATCTGCAGCTGGAGGCGTTTCAGGGTCCGGTCAGCATCCCGGGACTTGCGCTTGTAGGCGATGAGGACGATGATGATGATGAGGAGGAGCAGCCCGCCCCCGCCGCCGATCCCGATGATGGCAGGCAGGGTCAGCAGGCTGTCTGAGTAAATCTGCAGCGTCCCAGGGGAGAACTCGAACCCTCCAGCCTTGATCTGCACCATGGTGGGAGAAAAAAATGGACCTGGTGTCAGGGGATATGCACCCAGGGCAGCCCTCCCTGCTTCTGCGCACCATGCTGGAAACTGGGGCGTGACTCCCAGCCCATGGCACAAAGGATGTCGCAAAATGAGGGGAGGGCAGGAGCTGGTCTGGAGCAGCACAACGTGCTTTAATGGTACGCAGGACACACGCTGCCAGTGCACACGGAGCAGGCAGAGAGTTTGATGTCTCATTCAGACAACATTACAGTAACAGATGGGATGTGAAGCAAGTTCCCCCACGGATGGGGAGCCTGGTGGGGACCGTGCTGGGTCCCTTTCAACGTGGTAGAGTCCTGGAGCATGAGCACTGCTGAGCTACAACCCCACAAACAAAGCAGCCGGTCTTACAGCATGTGCCAACACTGGGGGGAAGAGGTGGGAACCCCCCCTGCCTTGCACCCAGCAGGGAAGGTAGGTTGTTGGCAGGGCCATACAGGACACAAGAACACCCAGCTGAGTGTGCTGGGGAGCAGACAAAGTATTTTGTCCTACCAAACACATAATCAGAAAGAGGGATGCCCAGGGAGCAGGAAGTTGGCTCCTGAAGATGCTCCTGCACGTGCACAGACTATCCAGTCCTTATCCAAGGACAAACACACAGCAGGGCCAGTGTCAGGATAAGGACTGAACCTCTTTGACACACTGGACCTGAGGAGCAAAGGCACTGATGTCAGCACTTACCGTGACTTTGTGCTGGCCAGTGAGATTGGGGGACTCGCAGAGGAGCTGGGTCTCAGAGACAGTCAGGGTGCAGGGAGTGTCTCCAATCAGCACCGTGTAGTTGAGGCGGGAGTTACCAGCACCTGGTGGGAGCAGGTTCCTGCCCTTTGAGGGAACAGGGAATGACATTGTCAATTCTCATGCAAAGAGGAATGTTAAAAAAACCCTCAACTTAAGGCAAATGCACACTCTCACAGTGCAGGATTTAGCTCCAGGAGAGACAAAATGCCACCTCCACAGATGAACACATCCCTTCCTCTGCCCTCAGGCGCAGTCTGCCTTACCTTGAGGATGAGGGGAGAGCTGGGCTTCAGCTCCAGCATCCCTGTGGGGCTGAGTGGCTCAAAGACAGGGTCTGGGTAGTAGACAAAATTGGTGGTGTTGATGATCAGCAGGGCCTGGACATTATCCATGACGAAGCCGATCTCATCTGGGCGGTCGCCGAGCTCTGGAGGGCTCCGCACAGGGTTGTCAATGGAGGGTGCATAGCACACCATGGTGGTGTCATTGTAGACCGTGCAGTTCTGCAGGAGGCACAGACCAAGGTCACACCCAGCTCCCAACAGAGAGGTCAGGATCAAACCCCACAAGGATCTCCTAAAATCAATATCTCTGGATACAGGGTTTAGATTTGGAATCTCCTGTTCTGTTCTATCAACAGGCATTACATCCCACCCCAGGGCAGAGACAGACTCCTGTCTGCAATGGATGTGCAAGGGATGGGAGACGAGAGGTTGCTGGGGTCAGGCTCTTTCTGTAAATATCCTGCAGATATCCCACAAACCTCCCATCAGTTTTGAACACTCAGATCTAGCCCTCTCCTGACAGCACCCGGCTGGAGGTTTTGCAGAGAGATCAGTGCCCCGCTTTGGGAAGCAGCCCCTGGATCTCAGCCTTTCCCCACCATCACACCTGATGGGCAAGGGAAGCACTTTCTGCCCTGTGTTGCATAGGGATGGCATTCCTCCTCGTTGTGCACTGCCCCCAGCCCCAGCCCCAGCCAGCACCACTTACATTCTCCCTTTCAGAGCTGCAGTACTTGGCCCGGATCCTGGGCTCTTTGATGGTGGCCAGGTTGGTGCCAGTCACGGTCAGCAGCGTCCCACCGCTAGAGACATGGAGAACATGGGTTAGAAAAGGCAGCTTGACACTAGGTCCCCAATTCTAGGAAGAAAGCACCCATTCTCTCCAGCCAGATGCCCATCTGCCCCAGCCTGGATGAACCACAATGCCTCAGGAATCTCTTATCCCACCCACACATCACCATGACTGGCAGGATCTGGCACACACCAATGCCAATCATCTCAGCTGACCCAGAGGTCAAATAGAGATATAAAACTTGATAATTAACACTAATATCCCATCCTGTGTCCACGTTTGAGATCTGAAGACAGCTCCTAAGCTAAAGGCAACTAAGCATCTGCAATGGGAAGGCATCCCAAGGGGTTCCTCTCTGCCACCCCTTTCTGCATCATTCATGCAGTGGGTGACAGGACAGGCTGAACACTGCCAGTTTTTCTCTATGGCTTGGTGTTAAAAGCCCTGTGGTCCCAGAGAGCTCGACCACTCCCATGGGGAGCTCGCTGCTCTTCAACAGCCTAGGGAAGGTTTCCCTTGGCACTAGTTCTTAATGGATTCCTTTGCCTCCTCTCCAGCCAATTCAAACCTTTTAGAAAAATATGTAAACATTTCAAAAAGTCCCCCAATGGGAAATATTTTAATTTTATTTGCCGTCGCCAAATGTCAAGCTGAAATTAAGCAGATCCAAAGCACTCTCCGCTTTTGCCCCCTGCCAGGCTGAGCACTGCAGGCCAGGAGTTAGCAGGGCCCTGGTGCCAAGCCATTGCTCACACTCCTCTTGCCATGTCTCTGGAGCGCAGCCTGCCAGTTATCTCAGCAGCACTGAGATGTACCCATTAGGAGTGGGGAATCCGTGTGGACAACAGTCCCCTCTGCATCTCTCAAGATCCTCAAGATTCACCTGTTGATGCTCCATTCGGGATCGATCTTTTGGATGGTGGGGTCCTCTGTGTAGTTGTACTTCACCTCCGGGTTGCTCAGCTCTGCCCGGTTGATGTTGATGAGGATGGGAGAGCCGCCGGGGGTGTGCCCAGGGGGGGTCCTGCACCGGATCTCACGGGCACTTCTCCTAGAGCAGAAACACACAAGCTGTCAGTGCCCGGGCAGGAGGGGAGTGAGGGCAGCCAGGGGACCAGTGCTGCCTGGGAGCCCCCTGCCCCAGCACCTCTCCCCTTCTGAAACAGCTGGGGGTGAAGAAAGAAAGGAGCAAAAGTGGAAAAAAGAAACCCAAGAAAGGAAACAAAAGGCAGCCGAGAAAGGCTGAGCAGCTCCTGAGCATTCCCATCGTGCGGCTGCTGCAAACAGCAGCGATTAGGGCTGATAACCAGTAATTACCGCAGGAAAATATTTAAAGAGCCGCTCCATTATCATCCCTAATCTAAAAATTATCCACTTCATGCCTCAGGGCTTTGTGCTTTTAGAGAAAAATCCCTGTTCTTAGGGTTCTTCCTGCAGCCTCTGACACACAGAGGTTTCAAGAGGAGACACCTTTGGCCACCCAGGGGGTTTGGCTCCCAGGGTCCCTCCTGGTTTCCCAGCACAGGCTGCTGCTCTGTCAGGGGGTCCCACTGCCTTTGAAGGTGCCTGTAGCCCATCCTCCACCACCCTCTGTGCCCCTCACCCTGAAAAAGCACAGGGCTGTCCCCCGATGGTCACAGAGACGTTGCTGCCAGCATTGAGGTGGCTGCCTTCGATGGCGATCCAGGTGCCGCCAGAGAGAGGACCCCGGGCTGGGACCACACGGGAGAAAGTGGGTGTCTGTCAAAGGAAAAGAGCATCCCTGAAGTCAGACAGGCTGGGAACTGAAACCCACATCCCCAGGCAGCCTCAACTGGGTGACAGGAGCACAGAGAAGAGGGACCTGTGGGACAGTGGCTGGCAGTACCAGCAGGACAGTGGGGAGGCAGAGCAGTTGCAGACTCAGAGAAATTCAACCAGCATGACTCAATGCCTGACCAGAGCAGCCCCACCTGCCCCCCAGGAAAACAATGGTAAATTTTCCAACTCACACAGAAAACCACCCAAAACCACCCAGCATCACCTCCCCCCTGTGGTGCCAGACCTGTACCCCAGCACAGGGCTTACCACAAAGGTGAAGCTCTTGGGGGATGTGGCCCGGTAGTTGGGCAGGCAGTCACGGATGCACACTTCCACCCGTGCCTCATGCACCTTGCTCGAGCTGGCATCTCCGATTTCACACACGATCCTAAAGGATGAGGGGAAGAAGCTCTCAGTGTCCTGGCACCGAAATGCTCCCTGTGCCAAGCAAAGGTCTCAGGTGCCAGCAGATTCATGAGAAATCAAGGTGGTGGCAGTTGTCACTTCTGGCCCAGGAGGGAGCTTCCCCAGAGCCTCTGGGCTCCTCCCAGAGCAACCATAACCAGCAGGTACTTTTCTCCCAGTTCAGCCCAGTCAGTTTCAGGTCTTTTGCAGCCACAGGCAGCATTTGAACACCAGCACCCCTGTCCCTGACACACCAAGGTGATTCGGAGCACACCTGCCCCTCACCAGGCACTTACTGCTCAGCGCTGATGTACTCGCTCTCGATGGGGATGCACATCACTTTGCCCACTCGAACACCCCAGCGAACATCTTCAAACTTCAGGCCCAGATTCTCACCAGTGATGGTCAGACGGGTCCCTCCTTGCCTGGGGCCAGTCTCAGGGAACAACTAGGAGAGAGCATAGCCTGTCACAAGGGTGAAGAGCCACAGGGACACCTCACTCAGGCAGGCTGCAGTCCAGGCAGCCGCAGGGTGTTTGTTACTCCCCTATGAGCAGCAAGGAGCAGATGGGTGATGATAAATGCCAGCGTGTCTGTAAGTTGCCCACAGAGCAGGAAAGACCTCCCCAGTGACAGCTGCATCCACAAATCCCTCCAGGAACAAGCCAGGAGATACCAGATGTGTCCAAGCAGAGGGCTGGGATTTGGACACCCCACTGCAGACAGAGCTTTCTCACAGGTGACAAGGACAGGAATGGGAAGGAGACAGGCTAGCATCATCCACGGTTCCAGCTGAGCTGGCAAGGAAGCACCTGGGTGTGCCTGGCTTTTTGCCAGGTCCCAGGTACCCAGGGATGAGGTTCCCACATACAAGATGACCTCAAAGGAGAAAGCACCTCGATCAGGTTCCTGCAGGGGGCAAATGGCAGGCAGAGGCGAAGAGGGTTTCTCTCTGCCAGTAAACCCTGTGCCAAGGCCAGCTGGCTGGGAAGGGAGGGGACCCCAGCGCTGCGCCTCATTTACCAGGATGATGCCCAATAAAGCAGACAGGTGTGGCCTGACAGATGGTGGCAGAATGACGGATGAACAGAGGTGTGGGCCCATTGCTGCCTCCAACCAGGCAATTACAGATAGTTTTACATCAGTCATCACTGGCCCCGAGGTCCAGTGCCCACCTGCAGCGCTAACTGGGATGAACGGCAGGGCTGCATGCCCCAAGTGGGATTGGGGACAGGGCTGGACCCCAGTGACACCAAAACAGAGCAGGGCAAAAAGCAGCTGCAGGTAGCAGGACAAGGAGAGAGGAATGTGGCCTGGGTCAGTCCAGGAAGAAAGCACATCTTAGCCCAGGGAAAGAGACCACTCTGGTGCATGTGATGTCCTCCTCTGTTCATGCTCTTGCAGCACTGGTTGAGATCCCCTCTAGCACCAGGAGGCACCTCTGCCTGCACTAAGCCCAGCTCTTGGACAGGCTCAGGCCACAACCAAGCACGTGCAAGCTCTTTGCATTCCTGGCAAATCTGGGCAGCTGTAACCCTGGGGCCTGAGCCAGCTGGAGCCTCCTCCTCTTTTGCCTCCTCCTACTACTTGTGCAGGGCTCACTCCCGGACATCACCTCCGTGGGAGGAAAGGAGGATGAGCTGGGGGTGGGACACATGCAGCAGCAGACACAGTCCACGTCCCTGGCCCTGATGGACCACATGGAGCCAGGGGCTGTTTCTGCACAGCCCCACTGCAGCCATCGCTGCTGGGGTTAACCACTGCCCTCTGGATGCACACTGGGCTGGTCACCTTCAGCACACACAAACTTGAACAGGGGCAGCCCCCCAAACAAGGGGGAGAGAGCTGGGCCTGATACCTGGGCCCTGGCTCCTGCCAAGGCAACTACAGCTTACCATTTACACAGCAACAAAACCCTCCAGGGCTGTGGGGAACCACTGTTTGCCCAAACCCTGTTCAGCCCCTGCCCAAGTACAGGATTGGAGCTCGTTCTGGCAGCTGCAGCCAGCATCAGGTTGGGTCTTCCCCTTAAATCAAGCTCCGCCAGGGTGGCTGGCAAGCAGCGGTTGTTTGTTTGGTGTTTCTAAATGAGTGTTAAAAGCTGCTCCAGCGTGTTCGATTCCTCCTCCTCCGCAGCAAAGCTGACAAGGGCCACACGTTCGGGGAGGAATGAGCCTGGGAATGAAATGACATCGCTGGCCGCCCAGCACAGGGAGGTCACTGCCAAACAAGGTGTGCAGGAGGAAGGGAGCTGACAAGGACAGCAGGGGCTGCTGGAGCCTCCCCTTTTCCCCCTCCAACCTCTGGACCCCTGGCCCCAACAAACACTGCTGCTTTTCTCCTAATTGGTTTCAGAGGGTCCTTTTACATCAACAAGCGAATGGCTCCAATGGGTACAAGCAGTTGACTTGCTCCCAGCTCCGGCAGCCACAGAAGGGCCAGGAGGTGCTGAGGCCAAGAGATTCCCCCTTCCCAAAGGACAGGATATCACCCTGAGGGTCACAAAGAGCACCAGGCAAGACACCGCAGAGGTTTGGAAGGAGCTTGTCCCCACCACTGAGCAATGGGTAAGTGATTCTTCACTCCAAGGGTGAAGGATCATGACCATCTCCCAGGCAGCCCTAGCACCCATCACCACACCTGCACTCCAGTGAGCTGGGCAAGAAGGAGACTCTAGCTCCTCATGAAATTGCTGTAGGAGACTCTTTTCCCCCATCAGCCCTCTCTGCACCAGGCTTCTCTCTGGACCATTTCCAAGCCTGCCCACAGCCCAGATGTGGGACTGGGGCAGTGGGAAGCAGCAGGATATAGGCAGGGTACTGGAGGAGCACCACACCAACACACATCCACAGGACTGCCAATCCCCACGGCACTAACACAGAGTGCCACCAAGGTCAAGCTCACCTGCTAACAGCTCTGTTCCTGCTGCACCTACAATTACTGCAAAATTTCATAATGATGTAGGGCAGGAGAGCTGCTACCAGCCCTGGACACCATCAGCTGCTGGGAAGCTCCTGTGAGTGGCGTGTGTGTGAATGCCTGCAGCCCAGTCAAAAGAACACAAAAGAGGACAGGACACAGCCTAAAATGAGGCCACCCTGGCCATGACCTGGCCACTGCAGTCTCCACCCCCACCATTCCTAGGGGTCCAGATTTGGGAAGTTCAGCCTGAGCATGGTGGGAAGCCAATGGGGACAGGGAGCCCTGCAGCTCCACACAAAACAGCAGACCTCCTTGTAGGGATGTGGACTCTGAGGCTTAATCCCACTTCCCTAGGAATGGATCTCTTCTCCTGCCAGCACTCCACCAGCCCCAAGCAGCTCTCTGCAGGCAGTATTTCTCACAGGCAGGGCTCTTTGCAGGCAGGGACATGCCTGTTGGGGTGTTCCCCCCTTTCCCCACATGGCTGTCACCCAGCACACTGCAGTGCCTGTGCTGTGCAAGAGGCAGGCAGCACGCACTGGGAAAAGCCAAGCCTCTCATTTCCAGCTTCCATCAGATAAGGCACTGAAACTCAAACAGATCAGATCCTGTGCTAAGTCTCCAGTAATTAACACCACCGAGGCCCAGGCAGCTGTGGGTAAGCAGAAGGTATCCAGCCAAAATACCCACCAGTCCTTCCTTGTGAACCTGGATCCCAGCCCAATAGGCATGTGAACATGAATATACACAATCTTATTAAGCAAAGGTCATAAAAGCTGTCAGTGAAAGGGGATGATGATGAACTACTGGCCCCAGCGAGCACAGTAACATGAGGAGGAGCAACGTGGAGCTGCTTCTTTCCTAGATCCTCCAGTCATGTGCAGGAGTGGTAGGAATCTCAGAAATAAGCCAGAAAGCCCAGGGCATGGGGGTGGGGGGGAGAAGATTTTAGCCTTGGAAATAAAATGGCAACAAAAAACACTCAAGTACTAAACAAACATCGAGCAGATCTGGCAGCTGTGAGGTGCCACCAGACAATCCCATCCCCATCTCCACGCCCACCTTCCATCTCCCATTCTGGGGCATCTCCACTCATCTGTCCCCACGTACCTTGGTGATCTTGGGGTCGGTGCAGCGGCTGTTGCCACTGCTGGCGTGCATCCAGCTGCTCTCGTAGGCCAGGCAGTGCTGCCGCAGGGAGCAGCGTCTCTCTGACACGCACCAGCCGCACTCGAAGCGCGGGTCAGCCTTGAGGCACAGCCCGCAGCTCTCCCGCAGGGCTGAGCACTTGTACAGGTGGGCTGTAACAGCAGGAGGAGTGCAAGGGTCAGCATGGGCCCCACAGCCCATGGGAAAAAAGGTTTTAGGGAAAAGGGCACCTGCTCTTGCCCCCTCCCACCAACTCGCAGGGGGACAGAGCCCCATGGACAGGGGGCACCAACACCTTGGACTCAACACCAAAGCAGAGCTTTGGGCTCTCTCCCAAAGCTTCTTGGAGAAAAGCCTTTTGTTTAGAGACCCATCAACATTGTTCCCTTCTGCAAGGCCCTGGAGCAAACCGGGCAAGGAGCAGAGGAGAGAGGCGCGTTGGAGGCTGGAGCAGCTCCAGATGGTTTTCCTACCCTGGTCCCATCCCTCACTCACCCTGGATGTTCTGAGGGTTGTCAATGACAAAGTTCCCGTTCCAGACCACAGACAAGTTGACGGGCAGGTCGCTGATGTCATTTCCTTCATAGAAATACTGCAGAAGGAGACAGAAGGAGGCAGAGCCCATTAATCGTTGATGCAAAATATCCCAGTGAGGGGTATGGAGAAACATAGAATCCCATTATGTGAATGTCTCACATCAGCCAGAGGAGAGGGATGAGGGCCTCATTGGGACTTGCTGTCTAGGAACAAGCAGGTCTGACAGCCACTGGTCAAAGCATCAGACACAGCACATGAAACCAGTGGATTGGACTGGCAAAAAAAAGATAAAGTAGCAAAAGAGAGGGTTTCTAAATAGACTCTAACCCCATTAAGTCAAAGGTCTGAAGTTGCTGCTGCTGCTGGGAGAGGAGGAAACAGATGGTGACTCTGCAGGACAGACACACCTCTCGCCACCAGGCACCTGAGCCCTCCCCCATGACCTCCCCACTCCAGGGATGCTCAGCTGGATGTTTGAGATTATGGTCATCACTAATGAGGCCCAGGGAGGACAGCCTGGGCACATCACAGGAGTGGATTCAGTCACCCCCAACAGCCAGAGGGAGGATGTCCCTTGTGGATCCCTCCAGCCCCATCACCTATAACACAATTATACAAAGCTGTGGCCACATGCCTGTGGGTGGGACAGAGCCAAGGACCATCCTGATGTCACACCAGCCCTCAGAAAGGTCCAACCCTCTCAGAAGAGAGCAGCCCTCCCCTCCACACTGCAACTGCAGTTGCCCTGCTCCCAGCCCCACACCGTACTCAGCCATCAGATGCACTCCATCTCAGGGCTGGCACCACCACCCTGATCCCCTGAAATCCCATGGAGGGAGGTGACGCCAGGGAATCCTGTCCCCTAGCTCTAGGAGACCCCAAATTCAGGCCCCAGCCCCTTCTGCTGTTCAGACATACCCACCTTCATTGCTCCTTCCAGCCTGGCCAGCGTCTCCTCCCAACCCAGACCCCTCTCCCCTGCCTCAACACCTGAGTCCCAGTCCCAGCAGCCCCATCAATATTCCCTACAAAGCCCCTGCACACAGACAGAGAGGTTTAATCGATATGGAGGCAGGAAGGCAGTTGGAACCATCCCTGACAGCTAATGACCTCCTTCGGCAAGAGATTCCCCGCTCCTCGCCTGAGAAAATGACAGGCGTGTCAGGAGAGATTAAATGAATGATTCATGGGTTGCTGGAGTTTGTTAGGGAGCTGCGGACGCACTGGCAGCGGTTCACCCAGCCACAGGCGGGACACAGCCCTGCCACCACCTCCAGCCAGTCCCAAAGTCACCTTTGGCAGCCCTCATGCTGTACAGCAGGAGGTGGCCTCAGCATCACCTCCAGCATTGCCCCAGCTGCTGCCCCACAAAGACCCAGGACTATTCCACTCCACAGGAGACAGGGACGTAGCCCATGAAGGAAATCAGCAGGCCCAGGTGGTTTGGGAAAGCAATGGACACTTGGGTCCTCCTCATCTGACCATCAAAGCTGGTCCCCTCTGTGTTGTGTCTCTCCCAGCCAGGCAGCATCACCAGTCCAGCATCAGACACAGCATCAAAATGGGGCACATACCCAATGTGAGACGTGGCTATGGCAACACACCCCTCCCTCAGCCCTACAGGGTGCAAATGAGAGGCCAAGCCTGGTACTCTGTTATAGTTTTTGGCTTGTGAATCCTTTGTCCAGGAGCCACGCATCCAACCACAAATGCAACAGCTCCACCAACATCTCCCCGCTACAGGTAGAGCCCCATCACTCCCCACCACAGACATGGCACCTCTTGCCATGTTTGCTCAGAGGGCCCTCACCACATCCCCACCACACACGATCTACCAACAGAGCCTCTCAGCAATATTCCCGTCACCAGGCCTGCGAAGATGGAGCCAGAACTGGGCTAGGAGTTCAGATCTCTTCACCTTTCTCTATCCTATCCCCACCCTAGGATATCCTCAACAGGATCACCACGAGGAGCAGCCAGACCCAGAGCAGTGAGCAGAGACCATTCCCTGGCAGCAGGAGGGAGCACGTGCTGGGGAGGGCGGTGACGGCGCCGGAGCAGAATTTAGCTGTGACGAGCCACGTGGCAGCGTAAGTGAAATTGGCATTTTCAATTTGTACTCTGACATGTCTCATTTGGGGCCCTGGCATCTCGGGAAGGCATCCAGCCTGCAGCTGTCCAAAACACTTATTTGCATCTCTCTGCCCCGGCTGCTTTTGGAAATTAGTTCTTCTGGGAGGTGGGTTGGAGGAAGAAGAATAGGGGGAGAGAGAGGGAGAACATTAACTCTTCATGCACCAGTCTCGAGACGGCAACAGGGCAGTTGCACAAGAGACTGTCTTCCTCTGGGAAAGGACACGTGCTGAGGATGCTGAATTTGCTGTGGAATGGAGGTGGAGTGGACAGCGGCGAGCAGCGTGAGTGCAGGACTGTGTGAAGGGAAGTGGCAGGGCAGGAGTTGTTGCCCCAGCTGGTGTTCATGGCGAGGGCCCACCAAGGGAACGTGGATATCAATGAAAAATGTGTTCTCAGCATCTGTGTGTCTGTCAGCAGCCTCTCACCTGCCCTGTGGAGACAGCAGCAGGTCTGTGACTTGGATGCTGTTACTGGTCCCTGCAGGATGCCGGAGCTGGAGTCATGACTTGGCTGCTCAAGGACAGGAGCTGCAGCTACAGGGGCTCTGGGCTCAGCCTTCTGGGACACAGAGATCCATCAGATCCCTCTCTAATTCTCAAAGCTTCTCCTACTTTGAAGGATGTTTCCAAAAGGCCTCCTTGCAGCTGCCCTTGCCATAGTGCAGTCAGGAAGGTGCCCTCTCCACCCACACTCAGGGAGACGGCAGCATCCAAGCAAAGCAGCAGCCATTTTCCTGACCTGAAAGCAGGTGGGGATCAGACAAGGGTTGCTTACCAATGTGTCCATCCTATGGGATCCAGACAAGAGCCCACAGCCAGCCAGCAGGTCCCATCATGCTGGTTCCTCCCTGCTTCGAGCTAACACAGCGCTAAACATCCATTAAATACTTAACTGTTATTAACTTCCCAGTTAATCAATCCCAGTGGCTGGCAGCAGTCTGGGATAAGTGGCAGGATGGGTGTGAGTGGGGGGATGCACTTACCCAGGCACTTCTCTTATCAGATCAGATTTTGCTCTACAGAGGTGCCCAAGACCACTTGGCTGTGCCAAAGGATGATTTGGCTTGGCAGCTGCTACAAGGACAAGTTATGGGAAAGGGATGTTTGCTCTGGGAGCAGAAAATGACAGGCACAGCCCTGAGAGCAAACCAATGGCACCCAAAAGAGAAGTGCTCTCATGCAGCACAGTCCACAGAAGGAGATGGGAGAAAAGATGTCATCAAGTGAGTCAGCAACTGAGATATGAGCTGCCTGGCTCCTTACCCAACCCAGCCAGCCTCTCCATCCCTCTCTGGGAGAGCTTACAAGGCAAATGTGGAAGAGATGACAGAGGATACTTCAGCCCCACCGACCTTCCTAGCAAGGTCTCCCTCTGTAGAGATGCAGTTCAGGAAAGAGAACTCTTCACTAAGCCTTTCTCAAGGCTTTTCACCCAAAACTTACCTCAGGCATCTTCCCAAGTAGCAACCAACAACCTCATACACTTCTCCCATTCTCACATCAGCCCCGTCCCCACGCAGGGGATGCCACCAGCCTTGCACATTGCTAGGGCTGTGGGTGTCACCTGCCCTGAAGGTCTCATTTTCAGTTCTAGCAAGCCCACTGCTCTCCCACCCACCAGCTAGCAGTAACAGGCACTGAGAGTTGCCCAGCTGCCCTTGGGATGGGGGATTCAGCACTTTGAGAAGGTGCCTCCAGGGAGCTGCAGAAGGGGACAGAGCTGCTGATCTGGGGGCAGATCACACTGAAATGCACTTCAGGGTGCTCCTGCAAGTGCTGTAAAACTAACCAAAGCACTAGCCCTTCCCAGGCCAAGGGAAGCAGGGTGACCCTCAAGCCCTCATATCCCTTGCCACAGGGCATCCATCCCACTCCAGCCACAACCTGCACAGCCCAGTCCCAGAGAAGGCAGTGGAGGGGCTGTTCCTCTGCAAGCAAACCCACACATCCAAATTTCCCGTGCAACAAACCTCACTCCCACATGCACCATCCCCCTGGGCTGCATTTCTGGAGGAGAGCTTGGGCTGCAGCTGTGTCCTATTTTTCTGTAGTTGATGACCTCAACTCCTTCCCCGCACTATGGGGACGGCAGTAATGTACATCGCGTCTCGCCAGGGCTCAACTGCAATTCATCATTATTTTATCTGCTGGAATTTAATTGGATCCTATCAAACTCTCCTGATACTCCCTTTTCACTTTAAACACTGCTGCAGGAAAGATAAATGTAGGCACCGCTAGGACAGAGAGCACGGCTTTGTTGGCGAACGGAGCTGGGGCTGTGGGCTCCAATCCTGTTTCCCTCTCCATGGCTGGTTAATTAGAGATACATATACAGGAGGTGTGCAGTGCTCAGAACAGGGCATGTGTGTATGATTTATGTTCCTCTATAAATACACCCTTGGCCGAGTATACCGTCATCCACACAACAGCGCAACTTGACAGTAACGCTCAGCCTCTGATTCTGGATCTCCTTTTGCTCTTTTCACATGGATCTCCTCCTTTCCTCCCCCATTCAGATACAATCTTCTTCACCTGGATTCCTCCTTCCTGAAATCTGGCAGGGTGTAAGTGAGAACCTGAGACCCTAGGAATATGTCAGAGCAACACCCAGGCTCCACAGCAACAAAAAAAATACTCCGGAAACATAAATCCACCAGGTCTTACCTCCCTCCCCAGCATCCATTCCTGGGGCTGGGCTTCAGCATCCACACTGGTTCCCACTTGTGTGCCCACTCCATCAGCCCAGCTTGCTCTGCACCCACATCACTTTGTCCCAGGAATAAACCACTCCAGGGGAACTTCCCGAACCAAGTCTGGCTGGAGGGCAGCAACCTCCACAGCCACAGCAGAAATAGGTGGGCAGGGTGGGCTCTCTGTGCCAGGGGCATGGGCAAGAAAGGAGCCAAAAGGCAGCCAAGGAGGTAACACAGCTGCCTCTCACCACGCAGGGCTTTGGTTAAAAGGAAAAGGAAATAACTGAGACATGAGGTTTAATTTAAAGTGCTGAGACAAGAAGCTCATGGAAAGGAGATCAGGGGTTCTTCCTATTTATATATTTAAAGGAAAAGTGCAGCTCTGGGGCTATTTCAGCCTTTAGAGGAATGTTCAGGAGAGAAAAAGCCAAATCCTTGGCAGCAAGAAACACCTGTAGCCATTTTGCCACGACCAGGACTAAATCAGATCAAGTCCAATGTTACAACCAGAAGTGAAGATTCAGGACTGTGGCACTTTTCAACAGCAAAATTGTTTCATTTTTGCAGCAATCAGGAGGATCAGCCCTGTTGAGGGATGGCAGATGAGAAAGAACAGTCAAAGGCAGGGATGCTTGGAAAATGAAACTCAGTGGCATTACCTGCACGTGTTAAGACAGGTGACCATTTCTGCATCCTCCGCTGCAAAAAACAAGCCTGGACAAGTCTACTTCCAGAAGATTAAAAGTAACCAATTAGCAAAAAATAGTTTATTGACAAAGAACTTCATTTTCTTAGTCAGGCTTGTCTTTCCTCTTTGAATCTTGGCAATACATGTGGCAAACATTTAGGGTTGCTTTCCTTTTGAAGAGCAGAAAGAGACCACAGTGAGGAGGCAGAAAAGGTTCTTTTGGCTTGATTTTTGCCCTGCAATGCTGGGGAACACCAGAGCTGGTCTCCCCTGAGTGTGCCAAAGATCTATTGGGTGTTCCAAACAATGTTTATAGTTGACACTCAAACCCTAATGAATGGACTGCTGCATATTTAACCAAGATGTACTTTCTTGAACTGCTAACAAGTCATTGGAGTTTGACAAGCACTAAAACTAAACAACAAAGAGTTTTAAGGGGCTTGACTTATTATGCCTTCCATTCACCAGTGATTCAGGAAAGCATCCCTAATTCCACAGAGTAATTAACCTCTTGTTTAGATCTCACTGAACTCCTGGAAATAATGTGTGCTTAAATGCCTTTCAGAGGAGAGGGCATCCATTCTTCACTTGCTGGCTGGAAAGACTTGATCCTTTTCCTATTTCTCCACTTACCAGCGTCCTCCACACCAGGCATGACCCAAAATCCTAACCCAAAGGATGAAATGCAATGGAAGAAGCCAGCAGGTCATGGGTGGGTGACGATGCGGGAGCCTGAAGCGCTTTCAACCAGCCAGATGGGCTGTAAAAGGCGCGAAGGAGACAAACAGCACAGAAGTGTGAATTTGAGTCCCCCACACCATAACACAGCCTGGCTCAATGCCCTCAAATGTTAAAGCAGGCGAGCAGACCCTGAAAGCAAGGGGGTTTCTTTCACGCCAAAACTCTCCTCTTCTTGTCTGTGAAGACACCCTGTGCCTGAACACCGTGTCCCCTGCCCGAGACTGCAGCCCCACAGAGCTGCTGCCACTCCCCACACACCTCACAACACCTCACACACGCTCTTCTGCCAATTTGTGCTGTTTTCAGGGCATCCCTGACAATTTTCAGGTCAAACATCCACCACTCTCAGCCCAGCATAAAGTGATGGTTACCTGAGCTCTGTGTGAGGACCACAGGGTGGGCAGGCACACCTCAAGCTGTCCTATCCCTTTGGAGAAAACTACAGAGGCCATACAGCTCATGACACCAGTCCTGGTAGCCAAGGCAGCCCTTGAGAAACACAGGCAGTGGGTTTTGCTTATGTCTCTCTCTCATGTCTGGCAAATTGAGACTTACCAGGGAGAAATGAAGCCAAATCACTCAGAGCCTCTCACCAAGCTCCACCTTTGTTATGTTAAAGGCTCCTCCCTGGTGCAGGCACCTCTGCCCAACATCCCACAGGAGCCATCAGGCTACTGCTGCCAGCACTGTACAGCCATAGCACTTCCCCACAGGGAGCATCCTGCAGCACACACATCCCAAACTGCCTTGGAACTAACTAAGCCAAACCACACACTCCATAACTGGGCAGAAGGGACCTGCCACCTCCAGACAGAGGAGACCTGGCAGAAGGTTGGGCTGGCCAAGGGGCTCTGGCCAGGTAGGGGCTCACGAGCTGTCCCCAGAAAGCTGGGGACCAGCAAATCACTGCAAGAGATGAAGGTCTGTGAGCCACTTCCCCCATGTGCACAGGGCAGATGCAGTTTTGGATCCTTGGTGCTGATGCAGCTCTGTGCCCAGCTTGGGGTCCCTGCAGGCTGGGCTGCCTCCTGGGAACAGAGAGACCTTGCTTCTTCCACACTCTGCAACAGGGCAATGGTTCCTACAGCCTGTTTCCAGACACAGGCGCTCCAGCAGCAGGGCCAGGCATGGACACATCACAGAACAGCCCTTGGACAACAAAGGAAGTTCACAACACAGTCTTCTGCTGGGACAAGAGTGGTTCAGCTGACCCCCAAGAAGCCTCCCACATGCCTGTGATGGAGATAGAGCAGCCAAGCTTGGCTACCAGCAGCAACAAGACCCTGGTGAAGGGATTCCCACCACTGTGGTGTTTCTTTGCACACACATCCATCACATTCCCCTTGAAGCACTAAGAACAAGCCATGCAGGTGATGACCAAAGACTGGGACTGAGAGCAGACCTGCATGACAAAGCCCCAGTGAGGGCCACAACACCACAGAGCAACAGCCCTGACAGGTCCACCTGGCTTCTTTTCATCCCTGAAAGCAGCAGCAAGAAGTCAAACCTTTGCTTAAGCCACCTGGTTAATGGCTTCTCACAGCAGAGCCCTGCAGATTCTGCTCTGGTCCTGCTGCTCCCTGGAGCCTGTGCCTTGAGCTGCTGCCTGCACTCACCTCCAGGCCAAGAACAGAGCCACCGACATTTCCAGCCAGCAGCTCAGGACAGGGAGCATTTCTGCTCTTTACAAACTGCCTGTCACCAAGAAGGAGCTCCAACAGCACGGCATCCCCCTGGCACTGCCAGCACGGCATCCCCCCGGCACTGCCAGCACGGCATCCCCCCGGCACTGCCAGCACGGCATCCCCCTGGCACTGCTGACCAGAGCAGGAGGCAATGACTCAGGATACTTCTCCTGCCCAAAGGCTCCACAGCCCCGGGATCACAGGAGGAGGGAGGGTGCCAGTGCTCATCTTCAATGGCCTCTAAATGTCACTCGTGCCACCAAAGGGAGCAGGGATCAGCGCTGGTGTTAGGCTGCAAATGAGCTTTCACAGTATGGGAGATGAAAAACAAATTTTAAAAGGATTAAATGGGAGAGAGAAGGGAGGGGGCAGCTGTATGTGGATGAGGGCAGGTCGGTGCAGAGCTCAGCAGGCAGCCAAGGAGCTGAGCAATGATGGCTCCCCGTGGGGGCTATTAACACCCAGGGTGGTTTGCTTGTGGGCCTGGTACACAGCGAGGGGCACACACACAGCTCACCCAGGGCTGCAAAACACCCTCCCACTTAGGGATAAGGCACCCAGAGAGGGCAGAGCAGGCAGAGATGCCTGCAGAAGAGAGCTGGAGTGACAGGGCTACAGGAAGCAAGGACACAGAGACAGGGAGTGATGCAGGGAGCATAGGCAGGCAGGTGGGCGGGCAGGCAGACAGACAGGGGAGTGAGGCAGCTGCTGGTCAGAGTCAGGGATGGAGTCAAGGATGGACAGGAGCTGCAGGGGAGGAGGGGAAGCGCTTGCAGGGCTGGCCAGCACAGCTGCACGTAGGGGGCTCCGTGTGTGCAGCAGGACACAGAGGTGTTAGTGCAATCCCACTGGAAAGCGGGATGGCTTGGTGTCAGGGGGAAGCGAGAGCAGGCAGAGAGAAGGAGGAGGCAAGGCTCCGGCACATCTGGGCCAGCTGGCTCCAGTCCAGGCAACTTTCTTCAGCTTTGCAAAGCCAATTTCATTGGAAGTGCTCATAAAGCCTGGTGGCCCCAGCAATGATCCCACCCAGAAAAACCCCAAGCAACTCCCCCATGCACCTGGGTGAAGTGGCAGGGAGCCCACCTCAACACCACAAGAACCAGACCCCCCTGTTACCTGCCCATGGGAGAGCAAACCTGGACATGCAATGAGCTGTGATGGTCCCGGGGCAGGCGCGAAGGAGCAGCCCCACAGACAAGGCCCACGCCGAGGCAAACCACGCACTCACCGAGGTGTTCTGGCACTGGATGCTGGTGCTGTTGAAGCGCAGGGCAGTGACACGGGTGGTGCTGCCGGGGATGTGGAAGATGCACTCGTAGTTGCGCTGGCCGGACTGTGGCTGGGGCAGGTTTTTGGCTGTCAGGGTGATGGGTTTCACCACACCCACAGGGATGTAGATCTGGGTGGAAGGCAGGATCTGTGGGCAGTCCTGCAAAGGAAACAAGAGGCAGCCGATGAGACAGGAACACTGTGCAGCCTCTCCCCAGCACCCCTGTGACCTTGGCTGGCAGGCTGGGCACATGCTTGAGTAAACCCTCATGTGCCAGCGCCCAAACCAGCATCTCATGGCTGCCCTGCCCACCACCCTCAAGACAGAAGAGCACAGAGGAATCTGGTGGCAGGGGAGTAGTGTTTTCCACAGCACCAGTTGATTTAGGTGGGAGGAAGGGAGAGGATTCATCTATGGCACCTGTAACCTGGCACCGCAACAGCAACACACTTCTGAGCTGACTGGTATCGCATCATTGTAGCCAGTATGTTTCAGAGTTAATGCCCACTGGGCTATGCATTGTCAAGCTACACTCTCTTCCTCTTTCCCTTACAGCCTCCATCCCCCTTCCTTCACAAGCGGACAGAAAAGCTTGAAGTAGACAGGACCGGCTCAAAGCAGTGCCACCCCAACCAGCCCATCTGCAGGCTGCCCAGCAGACAGTGCCTCCGGCCAGGGAATGCTGGTGAATCCAAGCTGGAGAGCAAGGCACCACCCTGCCGGCCCCCTGCACTCCCTGGGGAAGGAGACACTGGGAGGGCAAAGCACTCTACTTGTAATAGCCGCAGGCTCCCACCTGCTCCAGAGGCACTGGTGACTCCAGTGTGCAAAGCACAGGGAGCAAGAGGGAGCAAAAATAAATGAGCTCAGGCAGCAAAACAGCTCTGCGGCCCCCGGTGGGTGACACTTCAGCAACAACAGCCTGATGCAATCCCATGCTGGCTTTGCCGAGCTGGGCAGAGGTCTCACACCTACAGCAGCTACTCCTGGGAATGTTGGCTTGAAATAACATCAAGAGGGAATAACACACGTGATGAAACGAGCTGCTTTAAAAACAGACACGGGGTGGACGCAGCCACCCCGCTGCTCTCGCAAGGCTGCCGATGGCCACAGCACAGCTGCAAGGGCAGCTCCTGCCCCAAGGCCACCAGCAACCACGTGTGGCCAAGGCTGCCCAGCTGCCTCCTGCCACCCTGCAGCAAGCCAGGCCAGACCTTGCACAGCACCAGGCTTTATCTCAGCCAGTACGATTAATTAACTTTGAAACGATGCAGAGAAACAAGAAAGAAATTGTTTCACTTAGCAACCATTAACAGAAAAACCCAACTAGCTTGTTTCCTATTCTTCACAGGTCTGTATTCCCCAAAAGCACAATTTTTAAGGGAAGAAATTATTTACCCCTAAAACATACTAGGCAAAATGAAAGCAGAGAGAAACAGTGATGTCAGCTCCAACCCAGAGATAGCAACAGGGCTGGGACAGTCTGGGGACCCTCAGTGCTGCTCTGCCACTTCCCTGCTCCATGTCATGGCTGCCCCTCTGCAAAGGGGGGCTTCAGTTGCCCTCCCTTTCAGAATCAGCTGAAGACTCACAGCAGGAAGACACCTCATGCCCGTTGCCATTTCCATGGACTGGTCTCACTGCTGCAAGACTGTTGTTCCCCACCAGCTCCCAGCTCAGAAGTGCTGTTGAAGGGAGCAGTCCCCACTGCTTCAACCCCCTCCACACTGCAGTGGGACCCCTCAGGTGGCACACACGCACTCAGCATGGATTAGCTCCTGGCTTGCTCTCCAACACCCCCACCTCCTAATTTTTCAGTAATTCTTGCTGCCAATCCAGCCGGGATGGTGAGTAAGCGGTGGGACAGCCCACGCACCCCCGCTGGGCTCACCACGGCTGTTTGCAGGGCTGGTGCCCAGGGAGCACAGCAGGCACGTGTGTCCCTCTCCCCACACAGGCAGGTGGGCTCGTTCTGCTGACTCGCGGTTTGAGCCGAATCCCCCCGTGATGTCACATGCTCCACATCTGCCAGCACAAGTGTCTCATCCAGCAAAAATGTCATCCCACGCCCAAACAGGAAGCACCTGGTGCTGGTGGGCGCCCAGGGTGCCCAGAGGGGTGGGGGCACAGGGACAACTCATTTCCCCTACGAGCAAGTCCAACTGTTGACACAACTTGCTCCAGCATTGCCCAGTACTTCCATCCCTTGGGAACACTGCACAGCCCACAGAGCTCTGCGTCTTGCCAAAAACAGCCCCTCCTAGCCCAGTCCCAGGTTCCAGGAGCAGGAAGCTATGAAGGGATGGGATGAGCTTCTAGAAAAGCAAGACCCCAACACACACAAATTCCCAAACATTGCACAATTTGGATTTTCTCCATTAAAACCATTTTTCTAGCTGAATAAGAACATGACATGAGTGTCCATGTTCATTTGTAGAGGTAAGAGCTTTAGAGTCACCCTGCAAATGCTGTGGTTTGGGTTTCTCTGGCAGATTTCAGCTCCAGCTGCAAGGCTGTGCCATCAGCAAAGATGAGATGAAGGCAGTCTGGGACCAGGCCTGACCCTGGCTTTGAGGTTCCCTCACCAAGTCCTCAGCCATTCCCACTGGTGGGGAATGAAGAATAAACACAAGCTGAACCTGTTTAAGTTGAACTGACACACTTGGTTCCTGCAGTCCAGGAGCCTTTCACCCTCCACAGCAGCTCTGCATCAGCAGGGGCTGTCAGGAGAGCTGCTTTTTGGAATGGGACGCTCCAGTATCCATCACTGACCACCCCATGGTCACCACCACGGAGCCCCAGCTGGAAAAACTGAACAGCCTGTGCTGCTTCACCACCCTTTCCCCAGCACCACAAGCCCCACAGCAAAGCCACAGAGGAGGGCGATCTCCAGAGCCCAGGCTTTAAAGCCACCACAGCCAGAGGGCAGGGATATTCTTCCCGCTATCCCCATTCCCAGGCACATTTATATGAGTGGTGGCTCCTACCCACATCCCATTCCAGCCATGCCACCCCCAGAAATCCCCACAAACATCCCTGGCATGTCCAGGATAGAGTGACATGGGTCACTCTGTGTTTTCCTACAAAACAGCCACTTTCCCACCCAGGAAACCGTGGTGAACCACCCGTGGGAAGTAGCAGAGACGGAGATGAGCACTGTTGTTACCCTGTCCCTCCGTCTCCTGACCAGTGCCCACCACACTCCAACCAACACAGACAGACCAAATCCTGCTTAAAATAACCCTTCTGCAGAGAGGATGGGCCTGGATGTTTACCATTAACTTGTCCAGTGGTGCCATGGGCTGGCACCGAGCCCCCCCACCCACCACACCACCCTGCTGGGGACCAGGATGGCCAGGGATGGGGACGTGATGTCTCATCCCAGCCCAGTCACAGAGCCCACAGCAGCAGCTGGTCTGAGGGTGTCTCACCATCCCTGCTGGGAACTGCTGAGGCCACACCAACGTGCAAACAGGCTGAGCCAGGCGCTCCAAACCTCAAGCCAGGCACTGCTCCAGGTCCCAGTGTGGCCAGAAGGTCTGCCGGGGGACACTCTGCCTGTGCTCAGGAGTGACACAAGTTCCTGAGCAGCTGGTTCGTGGGAGAGCTGTGCATGTCCCAAAGACAACACTGCTGTGGGGTACAGCCAAATGCTTTTGGCTTTGCCTGGCAGAGAAGGGAGCAGAGACCAGCAGCCTCCTCATGCCCTCAGTGAGGTGAACGGGCAGATGAGAGTCACTGGGCTCCAGTGGTCTGGACACCACGTGCTGGGTTTGCAGAACCAATGCCAGGACTGCCTGGAAGTGAGACCTCAGGAGCAGGCTTCTGCATGCCTTGGATGGGCAGATCCTCACCAGATTTCTTCAGGGCATAAACTAGGACAAAACATCTTTTTCCAGTCTTCTCACATTAGTGAATCTCCCCTCAGGTAGCAGGATCCTTCCCACTGGGCCCATGAACAGGCAATGGGAAACACAGGTAAGTTAAACTGGAGCCCTCTTCCAGAATAAGGACAGAGGAGAAACTCTCCTTCCTGTAACTCTCCCTTCAGGACCCAAATCAGTATCTACTGTAGAGCCAGCAGTGGCTCGCTAGACCTCCAAACCCAATCAAAGCAGCCAGCAATGCTACCACAGGCTGGGGACTCCAGGACGTCCTGCAAGCACCCTGCCAGTGACAGATTTCCCCAGTGGGTGGCATGGATGCTGCGCAGGATGAACCCCCACAGAAGAACATGATCTTTAGCAAAGCAGTTGAGACGAAGAAGGCGCAGCAAAATGGTTTGTTTTACAGACTTCAACCTTCCCTCTTCCAAAAACAAGTTGTTCTGCAATGACAGTTCAAGCTTGCTCCCTTCACAAACATCAAAGGAAAATTCTTTGGCGTCTCTGCCTTTGTTTTTTCTTTCATTCAGCCTAAAGTGCTCCCGGCTGCACCCAACCTCCCAAGCTGCCTCTCCTCAGCCACACAGCATCTCTCTACCAGCACACAGTCCCGGCAGCATTTCCCATTCCCCCCTCACTGCTTCTCAGGCAATCCCAGCACCCCAGGCGAGGCAGTAGGAATGGTTTCGAAAGTGGTCTCTCCTCTTCTAAGCCCTTTCCCATAGGACAAGGGGCCACAACAGGACCGGCACAGGAGAGGGGAGAAGTCTGACGTTGCCTTACCTCAGAGAACTTGACACGTCCCTCCAGGAAAGAGCAGTCGGCAGCGTTGTGGGTGCAGATGTGGCGGTACTTGCACCAGTGGCAGGGGAAGGAGCCGTTCACACAGGACAGGCAGCTGCAGAGAGAGAGAAGTGGGCAGCATCAGGGCAGCATCCAGGCAGAGTCCACAGGGGCACTTCTTGGGATGCTTCAGTAGGACCCTGTATCTCTGGGTGGAAAGGACCCTTGATCCATGGGGTAAGGGCCAGGCACCAGCAGGCTGGGAGGGGAGATGCCACACACTCCAAGTCTCCAGGTTTTGCCCATGGTAAGGTGAGGGGAAACAGCCCTTCTGACACCGCAGGGTTTGTGTCCCAGCCGGAGCGGCCACGCTCCCTCCTCCACTTGGCAGGCTGACCCTGCCCACCCCACTCCGGCAGGGGCCAAGCTCCAGACTTTGGGAGCTTTATTTGGGTTCACTGAAAGGCGATTTTAGCAATAGGCAGCAGAACAAGGGCTCTGCACTGCAGGGGAACAGGGGAGAAAGGGCCAGATTAATGCACGCTCATTGAGAGGAAAATTATAACTGGCAAAAGGTTGGGTCAGATTAACATGTCGGGACTGTAGGGCCTTTCAGCCGCTCACAATAGGTTGTGTGTGACCCCCTCCCTCAGCCCCCTCATCCCCAGCCCTCCACAGCCGCGCCTGCGTGTGTCTGTGTGCTGCCACCCCTCCCTCCAGCCCCAGACGCTTCCGTCTCTCTCTCCAGCCTCCTCTCCAGGCTCTTTGTGCAGGCTCTTGCTCCCCTCTCCCTGTCTCTTCTAGGGGTGCCCTCAGGCATTCCTCTTACCAAAGAAACCAGCCCAGGCACCCAATGCCTCTCCCCAGCCCACGAGGGAACACACAGAGTCCCTTCCTTGTGGAACCATTCACAGGAGCGGCACCCCAACATCCCCTCGCTATCCCCCCCAAAAGCACACCCTCCCAGCACACAAGGCATCCCTGTTTGCAGGCACAGGGGATCCTGTGGACCCCCACAGCTGGAAGGTGGCTTTCAGGGTTCTCATCCCTGTGAGGAGGAAAGGGGCTGAGCCCTCCCCACCACGCTGTCCTGGGGGGGATTGCAGCAAGGTCCCACATTTAGTCCACAAGCCTTCACAGGGCAGGTCTGCACCAGACATGTCCGTGCAGCCCAAGCTGCTCTCCCAAGGAGGAGACAGGAGAGCTGCTAAGGCATAAGCTAAAAGGCAGTAAAAATAATCAGCCTGGCTTTAAAAAAAGAAAAAAAAAAAAAAAGAAAAGGGAAAAAAAGCAGCAGTACTAGTTTTCTCCTTAGAAGGCTCATACCTGCGCTCACTGATCCAAGCATCAAAAGGATCAGGCCCAAAGCAATTATATTTAAACAAAGACAGGCTCTTTCTCTGAACACAGCTCTGGCAGGAGGCAGGCAGCCCTGCCCAGCCTAATCCTGCTCCTAAATCACAGCTACCTCTCTGCCTCTACCCCGGGAAATGACAGGAAAACACAGCATCACCCTGTGAGGTGCCAGAAAGACAATCTTCTTGGAGAAGAGATCTTTGGTGGCAGAGCCTGGCACACTGAATTCCTCACCCTCCAGCAGACTTGTCACTTTGGAGGTGTGGGGACAGCACATGAGGGAGCCACAGGGTGAGGGCAGCCCAGGGTGCAAACACACATCCAGGGCTTCACAGGGCCACAGCTTCCAGCTCGCCCTGGGGTTTCACACACCATTACATATACAGCAAGAGCTTTCCCAAATCCATGTGCACACACTAAGGAAATATTTAATTAAGCTGCTTGCAAAGGGGGTTGGAAGTCATTTCCATGTTTCGCTCACATTTTCACTTCCAAATGAACAGCCCTTTTAGCTTTACCCACAAATATGCTAATTGAGATGCTCCTTATGCAAATATATGCAATTTTATTTCAGCTGCAGAGATTCAACTTAAAAGCAGAGCCACAGCCCCCTATCTCTCGTTGCTTTGATGGAGGGAGGTGCAGAGAGTGGGGGGTGTGGGGGACACAAACAAAGCAAAGGACAGCTCCTGTCCTCCTGGTAAGGGCTCAAGCAGGACCAGTGGACAGGCAAATCCAGGACGTGGAGGAGCAGGACAGGGAACACACAGATTAATCCTCATGGGAGTAGCACAGCCACAGAGAGGTCATGTATGAGAGAAGTATGGTACAAGCAGTCACAAGCCACACGCTGGGCTGTAACTACCAAGACTCCCACTAATTGCCTCCCCCTCCCCCCACAGCAAAAGGAGAGATTTTCCAGTCACCAGCTCTTTTGGGGTTTACAAAAAGACACCCTAGTCCCCTTTCCACCACCTCACAAGCCATCTCAAAGCTGGGTGAAGCTCTTGATGCAGCCCTGCCCCAGGTAGCCCAGCCCCAACAGCTGCAGTTCTACTTTGCAGTTCTTCAGGGCCAAAGCCAAATCTTGGTTATTTCAGGACTCTCCTCATCTGAGGGTCTCCTTTGCCATTTAACTACTACAGGTCCCAGGTGGCCTTCTGGCCTCCACTTGCCAAAGGATCTCAGGTTATCCTCCACATACAGCCCAAGGTGCATGGTTCCCCCTTCCTACTTCAGCCCACCCAGCTGCTTCTAACTTAACTGAGCCATTCCTAAAGACCCATGCTCAGAGATGGTTTTCACACTCTCCCTTCTGCCGAGGTTCTCCATCAGCCGTAAGGACATCAAATGCCACCGTGAGAGCACTCACCACACACATCTCGATCCGCAGCATCCCTGCTGCGTTTAGAGCCTGTCTGGGTGAGCACCCCCCACTGGGCAAAGACGGCACAAAGTGGTAAATCAGCACACAGGTGCCAGTAACACAGTGGAACCCTGTTTCCAGCTTGCCTCATTCCTGCATGGCTATTTGATCACCCCAGCTCCCTGAAACCCCAGGGCAGGAGCTGAGGCAGGGATCCCCAGCTGCTGGTCAGTCTGGCAGTGTGGCTGGGGCTGTATCCCCATTGTGTCCATATCCCTGGTGTGTCCGTGTGCCACTGCTGTCTGTTCCCGGCACAGGAGCAGGTTGCTCGGCAGCATGATGCCATCTGTGCCGTCTCTCTCCTTCCCACGGTCAGGCACTCTTCCCTCATCACTTCTTGCCTAAGAGGTTTTCATCACTCCTGATAATTAGAGGGAGGCTCTCCTTCATGTGTTGAAGTGCTCCCCCTCCCTGAAGCGTGCCAGGAGAGCAAGAAGCCCAGCCAGGAAGAAAACTGATGGGGGGGGTCAGCACAGACACGGACCCACAGCTTGCTCCCCATCTGCCTCCTCCTCAGCCCAGCCAGGTGGAGATGAAGCCCAGGCAAGGCAGGGGGAAGGGGGTCAGACCCACTGGCAGTGCCTCCCTTGCCTCCTGATGGATGTCCTTGTGCAAGAGGAGTCAGAATCACTCTGTGCCAAGTGCCCCATCCCAAAATAAGTCCAGGGTCACTGCTGGCCTGCAACCTCCCCCTGCCAAAGCAGGCATCCCTGCAGTCATTAGGGCAGCTCTGCCCACCTCTGAGTGCACCAGGAACAAAGCCAGAGCCTCGCCACAGCCTCCACGCTCGCTCACAACTCACTAAACAGCTGGGTCAACACCTCCCAACACTACACCCTCCACTTCCCTAGCTGATCCCAAACTTAGTTAAGCCAGCCAGGGAAACACCCGACATGGCTGCAGAAAAGCAGAGGTTCAGAGAGGGCAGAAGGACAGTGAAGAATCCTCTCCAGGGCCACAGGCACTGCTACAGGATGAGTCCAGATCCTAGGGTGGCGTCGGGGACCAACTCCTCGCTGGGTGTGTGGGCAGCTCTGCAGAAGCCATCTCTGACCACCATAGAGAGGCCACAGCTGCCTGTCTCTGTGCCTGACCCGAAGCAAAGCTGTAGCTGATGGGAAACATGGGGAGCCAGAAGTGCTGGGTCCAGGCTCTTCACTTAGTCTCCTTCCTGCACTCCCAGCCCCAGGCGTGCCACATGCCCAAAGGACCCTGCAGCTCTTCAGCACAGTGAGGGCAGAAAACAAAAACAGCATCCACAGGAGTGAGATAAGCCTGAGCAGCAAACACGAGAGGGACAGGAGGTGCGAGCGTTGCACACACACACACATACACACACACAGAGACACTGAGGCTATCTCTGTGGAGCAGCACATTCCTGAAGGAACAACGAGGAGAAAAGGGCAAGGAGGAGGGACAGGGGCAAGTTGAACGGCACCAAGAGCAGAGCAGGGGAGGTCCATTAAAGAAGGAAAAGTATAAACACGGTGTTGATGAAAACAGCATCTGTGCAGGCACAGCACAGCCGCCTGTGAGCCCCCTGACTGCTGCTCAGACCTCCTCTTGGCAGGAAGATGCTTCCTTAGTGAATACTCAGCTCCGGCATAGCCTGCATCTGGAGCAGCAGCTGTCAGGGCTGAGGGGCTGAACTGCAGTGCTTTGGGCTTTATATCCATCTCTCTGCCCCAGGGAGAGGGGGAAATCCCAAAGAGCTGTGGGAACAGACTGTCAGTGTCCTCCCCCAGCCCCTACACAGACCTACAGGCAGCTTCCTGACTGGTGCCCAGACCCAAAGCCAGGACAGGCGTGGGGTGGGAGGTCAGCTCTTGCCTCCTTCCATCCCTGCCCATCTCAATCCATTTCTGTCCTTCCTTTGACACAAGTCCAAAGCTTTTCCATTGCTGCTGGGTTTTGCCAAGGTCCTTACTCACAGGGTAACAGCTGGACATGCTGACCCACCACATGGTCCACCCACCATCATGCTGAAGGATGCAGAATCATGCTCTGGGTTTAAAGGTAATTCCCTTGAAACATCCTCAGCTGCCTCCCCTCACTGAAACACAACACCAGGTTGTACCAGCCCTCCTCACTCACAAGAAACATGACATAAACCAGGTTATCCCAAGCTGTCTCTGGGGCCATCCTACAGATTTTCCACCTGCCCCAGCCCAGGAATACACAGGGATCTGTCACCACCACGCAGCTCAGCCATGCAAACCCAGATACACTCACTCAACTGCTTGCAGCCATCTGTCCATGCCTGTGAAAGGAAAGCATCTGTAAGCACCTGGAAATGAGCAGCACTAGGCCAGCAGAGAAGCAGCCACGCCGAGTGTGGGCAGACGGAAAGGCTGCAGCAAGGAGCCCAGTGACACGGGGACTGGCATCGTCCCACAGGTGACAGCAGGTGCCTTGGCCACTACAGCAGCCCAGCCCTACCTTAGTGGCACAGTCCCCCTGCTCCCAGCCCTTGGGACACATATTAAAATCCCATTTACTTAATGAAGGCTTATAGGGAAAGCCTGACCTGTGGGATAGAGCCACAGTAGTGTCATTCCGACCTGGAGAAGTTAAAGTCATTTGGCACGTCTGTCCTTGCTCCAGTCTTGGAAAAATTCATCACTCCACAGATGATGGGACCTGAGTGTCACAGCTGCCACTGCAGCAAGGCACAACTGCAAGGCTGGTAGCACCAGGACAACCTCCCAGACTGGAGACACCAACACAGGTTTCCAGGATGCTCAGATCCCCTCTCAGCATCAGACCTGCTGACACCGTGATTTTTCCCCTTTCCTGTTGCCACCACCTGGATTTTTGCTTCCACATTGCAATGGCTGGACATGTTGGCAGGGAGTCAAGTCTGGTGATGCACTGGGCATGCTGGTGCTTGAAAAAACAGCAGCACTGCAAAACCTGCCCACAAAATTGAAGGAAGCACCAAAGGCTCTCATCTTCTTCCCCATCCCACTCCTCTTGCCAGCTCCCTTCCCACAGCCGCTCTCTCTGAAAAGCCAAACCACAACAGGATTTATGAAACAGAGTTTCCAGAGAAGAAATCCAGCAAGGAAACATGGAAATATTGAGAAGAAATACATCTTAGTATTCCCTGGAATTGCTCACTGGCTTTCAGTGAGGATTCCCTGTTCACCCAGCTCACCAGCAAGAGCGGGCACTGCCGGAGGCAGGCAGGGAGCCTGGTGTTACATCTTTATCTTGAAAGGGGACTCATTTCCCCACAAACACTTTGAAGAGGGCGTTTAGCACTGACAAAGACAACCTCAACATCTGCCCGCGCACGCGCTGGACTGGCTGGTTCATTAGACAATCAAAGGTGCCGAGCGGCCTTTTAATGCCTATGCTTGATCCGTGTCCCATCGGAAACCCCCCAGGGAATCCACCCTGGTCCCTGCCACGGCGTTTTTCATCATGCCCTCCACTGCAGGAACCAGAGCCTGTCCCCAGGAGATGCAGGGGAGCCTGCATGGGCAGCCCTGCTCCCCTGCCATGGGCTGGCAGCCACCCTCAGCCACGCGCATCCCCCTTTGCATCGAACTCTTGGTTTCCACTCCCCCATTCAGTTCATCTCCCACAGCTCAGCCAGCAGCATCCCTGGCCTGATGCACAAGCCTCTAGGAGCCCAAAAGATGCCACTGCCTGGAAACACCTGCCTGAGCCCCACAGGAGCCCTGAGTCTGCTGCGGTGTGGTACACAAAGTTGGGATCCCCAGAAGCTTCCAAGGTGACTCTGCTGGAAAGGAATGGAGCCCCAGAAAGGGTACAATTCCCAGACCAGGGCTCTCAGGGATCCTGCACAAAGTACCCCATGAGTCAGCAAAGCCAGTCTGTGAAGGGCACAATCCCCCACAGGTGACACTATTTAGCCTTGCTATAACAGACAGGACAGCTATGGAGCTCTACCTGGAAGGCACCTCCCTCAGCCCAGATCATCACACCAAACATACAGGCAGCACAACCCTCTCTGTACCCTCCTTTACTTCAGAAGAAGGGGTGAGAGGCATTTTCGCTTCTGCAACCCCTCCCTGGACCAGGCATGCTCAAGGAGTCCTTAGAAATGCATGGGAAGAACAGTTTTGCAAGGCGATGGGAAACAAGAGAGCCAGGATGCTCACACGGCAGCAGGACCAGACCCACAGCCAGCAAAAGGGCTTCAGCAGCGCGTTTTGCTGATGCCTTTCCAGATGTCTGCTGAAAATAAGAAGGGTCAGACTCTCCCCAGTGCACACGGTGGAGCTGCGTTGGCTTCCCTGGAGCTACCCCAGCTGACATCAGCAAAGAGCTGCCTTATAATCCTCCCATCTCTCCACAACCATCTGAAAAATCTCGCCTAAACATTTCATCCTCAGCTGAGAAATGATTTGACACGCAGAACTCTGGCTTCCAACCTAAGCAAAACTGCCCGAATACAAAAAGAAAACGTAATACGCAGTGATGAGAGGTCTCCACAGGAAAAACATTAGCCTCATGGAAAAGCATATTGTTCCTAATACAGAATTTATCAGGCTGACGTATAGATTTTCCTCCACAAAATATGAAACCTGGATCTGAAAGGCTATTAACTCCAGAGAGATCCATTAAAGACGTCTGTCTGCAAATGGTATTTAAAAGTATTGCATCATCCCAGGAGGTATTGTCATGCTCTTTGGCTATGATTCGACTGCAGGTCACATAGTTAAAACTACCTCCAAACTAAAACTCCTGACATAAAAAAAAAATAATAATAATGTTCACCAGCCTAGAACATGGACTTTTCTATCAGCTCCAACTGGAACCCATAAATATTAATGCATCCATAATTAGCCTTTTTAAATAATGCATCCAAAATTAAACATCAACGCAGTAATAAATCAGTCAGGGCTCTTTGTTGTAGGTTTGTTTGGGGGGGGCATAGGGTTTTTTTCCCCTCTGTGTCAGGCACATAAAATAAAATGCCAATTCCCTTACCACCTCTTCCCGCCAGAGTGCTGATTGGACCAAATCTGATGCCATTTGTACTTAAAAGTCATCTTTCTTTCATTTAGAAAAATAAAAGTCATATCTGCTTTTTGATTTGCAAAATAATGACATGCAGCCAGCCTGAGCCAAAGCTGAGCTAATGTTATTGAAGCCACAGGACGTGAAGGGAGACAAAGCTCATCTCGGAGTCAAGGTGAGGGAGAAAGTCAAGTTGGCAAACTCTCTCCTCCCTTGCCAGCACAGGGTTCCAGGAGCAAAGAGTGGGAGGGCAGGAACCCCTGTGATGCAGGAGGTTTGCAGGGGCCCTCCTCTGACACATCCCTCCTGGAGCTCACTGCAGGTGCCCAGCCAGGGCACCTGCATCTCCCTGATCAAGGTAGAAACTCCAAACAGGCTTTGGAGGAGCAAACTCCAGCAGAGCCCCTGAGCCAGACTTAACACTTTGCAAAAAGACTTCCAAAAGGCATTTGCTTATCTATAATTACTGATCAGCCGGAGTGTCACCATCCATGGGAGGTTCCTGGCAGAGTAATGAAATCGCTTGCATTCTTGAGCTCCAAATTCTTTGCCCAAACACACCCCAGCACCAGCTCCGGTCCCACAGCTCAGCTCAAGCACAGTGTCCCACAGCTCAGCTCAAGCACAGTGTCGGCAATTCCTCACCAGGAGTTGTGGTTGGAGACTTTAGACACCCTGCTTAGACAGCACATCAATAATCCACACCTCTTCTATTTTATCAAATGCATATCTCAAGCTGTCTAAAAACCCTCACAGCAGATTTCACAGCAGCCTGACAAGAAAGCAAATTCACAATTACTTCCAGTTAGGAAATTCTTGGGTAAATGCCCCAGGACATGCAGCATGTTCCATTCCATGTTGCTGTTAACTTTCCAGCTCCCTCTCCAGCAAGCCTGGGAAGCAGGTACCGTGGCAGGAAAATACAGGCTTCTCCCTTTGCATTGCCAAGTCCCTCCTATTAACTGTTTCCAGGAATGACAAGACACTTGGCATTTTCAGTCACATGGATTGATTGCTACAGTCTGCAATGCAGTAAACTTGCTTTTTCTTCCAAAGTTTTGCCAAACCTAAAGTCCTGCCAAACCCAAAGTCCTGTTTTGATGTGAGGTTCTTCCCTGATGCTACATGTTCCCACACACTCATACCAACTGTGGGTTCTCTGGTCACCATCCCAGTTTACACAGGCAAAAGGAGGAGGTTTCTCACTGTAAACACCACTGTACTCAACTGACCTTTCCTATTGCAACATTAGCACCCAGAAAGCTGGGAACTCTCTCCCAGTCTCACACCATCCCAACAATCTGTTCCCAGAGCCCTCTCACAAAGTCCAGGCCACTTACGATTGATGAACGCTGCAGTTGTAGAAAACAAAATCCACAGAGGCAAATTTCTTCCCCGTTTCCTTGGATTTCAGGTAGAGCTTCACCACTCGCTTGTCCCCTTTGAGAAACCCAAACAGAAGAAGGCATCAGAAAGGATACAGTCCACAGCCCAGCATTCAGCTCAAGGCTTGTGATGAGCTGGGAGAGAGCTGGGCATCCCCACTCAGTACCAGTTAACTAACAAAACTCCCCAAATGTGGCAATAAAAAGAGATTGTTCACCCATTCCCACTCAGACACCAAACAGGCCAGGAGGGCCCAAGTACAGCTCCAAGCCCCTACAGCCAAACATAACCCCCTGGCATGGAGACTGGTGCCTTGGGTTGTACTGGTGGTACTGAAGGGAGGTTTAACAGTCCTGGGGTCAGGAGAAATTCCCAGAGCCCATGGCCACCTACAAGCACATTTGCCAAGGAACGGTCCACAGGTGGAAATGGGGTCAGGGTGCCCAGGAGTGGTCAACAAGTAGAATCATAAAATGGTTTGGGTTAGAAGGGACCTTAAGAATCATCTAATTCCAACTCTCCTGCCATAGGCTGTGCCCATGTAGCTGTGTCCATGGCTTGGAGAAGACCAACAACCAGCCACGAGCAGCACATTCACCCTCCTACACCCTGAGAACCCAACTCAGGTCCAGTTCTCAAGACTGGGATCGCTGTCCCCAGAGGACTGTGCTCCTCCACATCTGCCTGTGGGGCAACATATGGGACAAGGTTTGTCTCAGGCTTTCTCCCACCCCAGGGCACAAGCTCACCGCGGCCCCTGGTGATGGGGATGACGTCCTTGGCAGAGGGAGAGCTGCAGTAGATCTTCCCATCCTCAATGCGGCTCTCAGATTCAGTGAAGTCTTCAAAGGAACAGTTGACTCCTGCCGAGAGGTCTGGGACATTCCAGGCCTGCAGGACCAGCTGGGGAGGAGTGGCAAGAGCATCAACACAAAAAACTAGCAAAAAAACTCCTCTTTGTGTAAGTCCACCAAACAGAAAAGACATGGGGTGCAATCCCTTCTCTGACACCTCACATGGTGGGGAGACCTGCTCTGGGCTTTTGCAAGAGAGACCCATCCAGACATCTCCCTGCTCAAGAAAGGAGCAAGGATTTAAATGGGTCAAGAGATGGAATGACTCACAGCCTCCATCCTTGGCCCTTGCCATATCACAAGCCATTACACCTCTCCTCTCTACAGAGACCAAGAACAGTGTCAAAGCTGAAGTGTGTTTCACATGAAGGTACCCACTCTGGGAGAGTCGAGGAGGGGAGGAATCCACCTCTTCCTTTACAAAGTCATCCCCAGGGTCAGCAGTTCTCACTTTACAAAACGCTTGCCTTATTTCTAATTTGAATTTTTCACAGCTTCCAGCCATTAGTTCTTGTTATGCTTTTCCTTGATAGATTAAAAAGCCCTTTAGTCCCTGATATTTGCTCCTTGTAAAGGCACTTATATTCTGTAATCAAGTCACCTCTTAATCTTCTTTTTGATAAGCTAAGCAGATTGAGCTCTGGAAGTCTCTCACTGCAAGGTATTTTCTCCAGCCTTCAACTCATTTACATGATGTTTACGGGAGGTTTTCAGTCTCTCCCTTTGAAAGCTGGACTCCAGCCCAAGCACAGCATCCCTATGTCACCCCAGACCTCTGTGCAGCATCCTGCCATCAGTAGGGAGATAACTACCCCGGGGTGAAAACACTGCCCAGCTCCCAGCTCTACCCAAGGAGCACCGAGAGTCGCACAGTGAGGGCTCAGCCCCGGCACCACCTTCCCAGACACCAGGTGGATCTTCAGTCATGTTTAACTTTAGACTTGGCAAAATAAAACCCCAACTTCTCTGCTAAACCAGCCACACTCAAACCCAACTACTCTGAAGGAACTCTCCCCACTTCCACCCTCCAGTCCCAGCATCCCAGTGGGTCCCGTCTGCAGCTGTATCGCATTTATCTCCACGTTACCAAAGAATGTTTACCCCTGTAGAAGTGATTTCCAAACTGTTTCCTTCCAGTGACAATTCCCCTCTGATGAGGACTTTCTGAGATCTGTCACGGAGCCAGTTCTTAATCCACTTAACACGTGCTTTATCAATATTGTATAATGCTAATTTTTAATCAGAACGTTGTGTTGCACTGAGTCAAATGCCTTGTAGGAGCCTAAAGACATCACATCCCTGCAGTCCCTCTTCTAATTCAAGTCATAAATTCATCAAAGAGCAAAATGTGGTTTGTCAGACATAAAAACCACGTTGACTGGCATAAATTATATTCCCAACCTTAAAACTTTATCAGGTGTATCCTGCACCTGCTCTTTTTCTTTAGTTTTTCTAAATCTTAAGTCCAGCTAAACAGTCTCTGACCATTTTGTCCTTTCTGCATCTGAGAAAAAAAAATGAGTACCTTTTCTGTTTCTGGGGCTTTTCTCAACATTCAATTATTTATTATAAAGTCATATTATTACAAATATCCCCAGGCCATAGAACTCCTTGGTCAACTTTTTTTAGGATTCCTGAGTGCCAGATACCCCAACCTGGCAGTTTATTGCTAGTATATGCTGTTTCTTGTTCTCTTCATGGTGCTAATGGCCTGTAAAATACTTCAGGGAAGTCGATCATCCTTTCTGTCTGCACAGAGAAAGAGCAGCAAGTTGTGCATCAAAGCCTCATCCTAAAATATCTACCTTAGGCGAGGGTCAGAGACAGGCTATTGAACTAGACAGATCGCTGGCCACGAACGGCATTTCTGATGGTTGTGCTTGTATTATGGAGAAATATTTATTGCTCAGTTGTGTCTTTTCTGAATAATCATCAACTGGTTTATTATCTCCATCAGTACGGAGCCAATCGCCAGCCCTCATCAATGACCTGCTCTTGGCTATGTTTTATTTGTCTCAGATCTCCCTTCCCCTTTCTCCCTGTTTGTCACATAGTCATTAGTTATTTTTAATTGCCGTCTCCCCGGCCGCTGCCTCCAGGGTGTCAGAAGGTTTCTGAGGGAAAGGGGTCTGAGGGGAGCAGAGGTGTCTTACCGGGACCTCAGACATGGTGACCGAGATGTTCTTGGGCTGCACGGTGAGCTGGACGCATTGCCGCAGGTCGGAGGCGAAGCGCTGGGGCTCGTCCGCCCGCTCGCACCGGTCCTTGCGTGAGCATCTGGAGGGGCACGAAAGCACAACGGTGAGGAGGAGAATCCCCCAGGGTCCTGCACAGCTTTGGGCTGACACCACGGCACACAGACTGTTTGGCACAGAGATGATGTCCAGGGTGCCCAAGGCCCATACAGGAGCTCTGCTCTCCCATGCGACTTCTGGGGGTGTTTTATATTCAGTTTTTCTTACTGGCACAAGGATGCCGAGCCCAGGAGCCCATAGGCAGGATTAGCAGGCCCTGTCAGCAGTTTCACCATGCATGGATGCTCCTAAGTACAGCCTGGGCACTGCAGGAGAGGATGACAGGAACCCTGGACCACTCCACCCCTCCACATTTTGGGGACAAAGTCCAGGGGAAATGTCCCCAAGGAGACCATCAGTGGGGACGGACACATTTTACCAACTGTAGGTCACTGGCGTGGCTCCAGGGACAATCCTGTGGTACTTACATGTTGTGGAGGACACACCAGCCACAGTGGGGGTCCCGGGAGCCCAGGCACAGCTCACAGCTCTCATACTGCTCACAGCTCTCCACTGGCACACGAGTCACCTGCAGGGAACAGGCACAGAGTGAAGGGGGACAGGTTGAGTGTTTCCCTGCTGTGCCTACACCTTGACATCACAGACACACCCAGCACAGACTCACCCTGGTCTGTTAGTGGGGAGGCAGGAGCAGGGAGTAGGCAGAGTCCCTCACCATCACCCCTTCCTCTCCCAGACCCAGGCAGCACATTTGCAGGCAACACGTCCACCCCAGAGATGCTTTTATTCCAACCAAGCTCCTTTCATCATTGCATCTTTGCAGGGCTTGGGAGTGGGCTGTGGAGGCTCAGCCCCACATCAGCTCCCAGTGCCGGCTGGGCACCCCACAGCTGCTGCAGCCCTGCTCCAAGAGGGTTACCAGTCCTTTATTAATTGCTCCTCCAGATTTGATTAAAATCCCCTCATTCTCCAAGCCCTTCGAGCTCTGTTACAACTGTTCATTTAATTACTTTCCACCAGCACTCTGATAACACCAAGTGTCGTAGGGAAGAGAGTGGGCTTTATTAAGGAGAAGGGAGGAGAAGAGGGTGACAGGGAGGGGGTGCAGGGAGCTGCCTGTTCGCCTGCTGCCAGGAGCCAGCAGCACCGAGCAGCTGCCCGTGCTCACCACGCTTGTGCCTCAGTTTCCACACTGCTCCCATGGGAAAGGACTCATTAATTAAAATTTGCAAACTTCTCTCCCGAAGGCTAAACCTGGGGTGTTCTCCCTCGTCACAGCCCAGCAGGACAGAGGCTCAGCGTGATGTCTGCAGGACTGGGATAGCTGACCACTGGGGTGCATACCAACGAGGATATCTGTAGTGTTGCCTTTTGTTTGTCCCTGACATTGCTTCAGGCAAGTGGTGACAAGGGAATCGGCAGCAGGTCCCCTTCAGGCAGACCCTACACAGACAAGTGCCGTGGTGGCCCCTGGGGAAACCCCAGCCCAGGTCGAGACCGCCAGTCCAGGTCAGCATAACTGCCCCCTTGGCATCTCCCCCACAGAGGGGAGGCTTAGCTGAGCCAGCCCTGGGACAGACACAACCAGGGATGGAAACACAGCCCAGGACAGTAGCATAGAGGAGCCCAAATGCAGTTTCTGCCCCACCTGGAAAGCCGCATGTTTCCAGCAGCACAGCAGAAACCAGAGACAGCCACTGGGGAGAACAAGGAAGGGGCTCTGCTGTCCCCACAGGGCTGTCTAGACAAACCCATGTCCCTGCTCCAGCATCCTTCCCCCTTCCAAACCCTCAGGCTGGTAGCCAGGAGGCTGTTACACTCTGAGCTCTGCTGGCAGTCCCACTGCACACACCTCTGGCTGGGTAGTGAGGTGCTGCGAGACACAGGCACACATCCCAGCACAGCCACCCCATGTCACCTCACCAGGCATGGCTTGTGTCCCCATTGACACTAGAAAGTGCCACCATAGTGGCATGAACCTGCTTCACCCCCTCCAGTGCATCCCACAGACAGATGAACTCACACCAGCAGCCCTCCCACAGGTCATGGATCAAGCAAATGTTCACAAAGACAACCCAAACTTCCTATCATGAGCTCAGATCTTGCTGCCAGGATGGCAGCACTGGATCCAGGTTAGGTCTGTACCTCCAGCTGGCTCAGCACAAGCAGAGGCAGGGACCAAGGGGTGCACACCAGGCAGGGGTCGAGTTTTGCAAAACTCCTTTCTGCCCTGTCATGCAAAAACAACTGCTCCAGAGGAGAAAAAGTCGTTTAGAGCAAGGAGTTCCTGCTAACCTGTAAAACCCTTGCTCAGGAGGGGATGGCCAGAACAGGGAGGAGGTTTATGGCCTTGCAGAAAGGGAAGGGCCAGGAAGCCCTTGTCCCCTGGGACCCTGGGAATTTCAAGCAGCTGCTGCTAACAATTAATGCCTCAGGACACTTTTTCTGCAGAGAGAAGCAAGGAGGAGCTGTCCCTGGGATCCCCAGTCCCTGCAGGGAGTAGTAGGAAAGAGGTCCCAGGGTCTCTAGGCATCCCCAATCCCAGGAAGTAAAGGATAGACCCCATCAGGGAGCTACCCAAAAGGCTTCCCAGCACACAGGACTCCAAGCTGGGGCTGCAGTGTGAGCTGCTAAGTCAGGAGAGCAGAGGGGGTTCTTACCTGTTTCTCAGTCATGGCGTAGATGTGCTGGCGGTCGGGGCTCAGCACCAGGTCTCGTAGGATAGAGCTGCCCTCATGGGCCACAACATTCTCATACTGCAGAGCTTGGTGCTTCCTCTCAGCTGGCAAGTCCACCAGGATCTGTGGGGAGAGCAAGGAGGGGTGAGCATGATCCCACAGGCACCTCAGCCCCCACCCAGGATGTGGGATATGGAATGTGCCCCACTAGGGATGCTGCCTGCCAGCATGGCCACACCACAGCCCCTGCCACACGGTAAAGTCGTGGCTGTTCTGCAACATCCCGACCCTTTCCAGAGCATCAGACTGCAGTGTCTTCTTCCCTTTACTGCATTTGTCTGGTGCATTTGTATCGCATTCATGCTGATGGCATTCATCTCTCTCCAGGGAGCGAGGCCACAGTCCCTGGTTCTCACGCTGCACCCTCGTACATGCTGCCCTGTGCCCCCACTGCTGCTCAGCCCCAAACCCCCACAACTTGTAGCGCAGAGCAGATGAGGCCCCAGCTTGCAGCAAAGCATCAAACCCCTTTTCACCACAGCAGTGCCAAAAGCAGCTTGCACATCGCAGGTAGGATGCTGCGGCACACGCAGGCAGGGCTTGCATCTCCCCATCCATCAGGGAAAACACTTAGGCTCGTGACCGGGGAAGTCAAGAGGGTCTCAAGGAAGTTTGGGGTCAATAGAGGTTCAGAAAGAGCCTTTGTTCCCTGAGCAGGAACACAGCGAAGGATTTAATCCCCTTATGGCTCACAATTACGTTAAAGCTCTTTCTAAGTACACCAGTTCCTGGCTGTACCAGCGATAACCACATCAGGAGGCACCACGGGGCTGGAGGCACACATCACACAGGGGTGTGTGCTCTGCACTCAGCTCTGCTACTTGAAATAACCTGATTGCCACCTCTGCGAGCCGCAGATATTTCCTGCTCATGCCATTGATTGTGATACCCCCAGATTCAGGCTGTCCCCTGGTACAGGGCAGCCTCAAGTGCCAGAGAAAAGGCTCAGGGGGTCTGGTCTGCTCCCATGGGATGGGATGGGATGGGAATCATGCCAGCAGCCCATTCTGCAAAAAGCCCAGGAGCGGGCAGCGAAGCATCGTGCCCAGCGAGACAGAGCAAACTCTGCCCAGGATCAGCTACGTGCTGCAGCTGGCACACACAGGTCCAGCACCTCCATCTGCAGGACTCAGGATCCTCCCACAGCAGAGGGGCAAATCCATTGCTTTGAAGAACCCCCCACGTGCATCCCACAGCCCTGCCCTGGTCATTGCACCCACTCCCACGGCCCAGTACAGCCTTGCGGCCCCGCAACAGCCACTCCAGCATCCCAGCCATCTCATCCCTGTTCTGCAATAATTTGCTGCCAGCATTTGCACAGTTCCCAATCAGGAGGATACGGGTCGGGAAAGCAGGATCCCGGTGTGCAGCTGATTAGCATGGAAATGTATGCGGCTCACAAACAAACCGGGCCCGTTTAATTAGAGCGGCGCCTTTGATTCACTGCCAGCCTCCTGCATGCACCAGCCCCGGATTATTTTTAGGCAGTTTTACAAAACAAATGTATTTAATTAAGAAAGAGACCCCTGAGCAACCAGAGAGCGATGAGTCCTGCATAGCGGTGAGCAAAGGGGCCGCCCTCTCCCCAGGGATGTGGTGACCGGGCTTGCAAGGCCAGGCTAATTCTTGGAAGCCCACAGCACAGCCAAAAACCCCCTGTACATCCCTCCACAGGACTGAAGAGCCTTTGTCATAACCCACAACAGTCCTGGTATTCACCTGACCTCACAGCATCCTTTGCTACCACCCCTGCACAGCCTCTGCTCCCCATCAGCCCCGCACTTGGTACCACTGTATGCTGAGGAACCCAGAGGTGCCTGAAGTCTCTGCCTGCCCTTTGTGCAGGGGTATCTTGTTGCCCAGGTCTACGTTTGTTCCTACTCCAAACATCAGAGGAGGTCAAGCCCCAGACACCTGCAGTCCAGGGCCACGTGGCACGCCTGCCCTGCTGTGTCCATTGCTCAGCAGCACCCAGCATCACCCCCAGAGTCCAGCCCTGCCTGCCCACACCTCCTCACAGGTTGCTCCCCTCCCAGCTCTCAGCTTCTCCCCTACAAAGTCCTGTCCAAGCCAGCTCTCCAGGGGAGGGTAACAGGGAACATCACCCCCTCCCCAGCAAGGCACCATCTCCCCACCTCGCTATGGCAATGTGACAAACACACCTTTCCAATCCTTTTATGGGCCGCAGTTGCGGCACAGAATAATCGATATAGTTTTACCCTGGTTCTAAAATAGATCTATGGCTGGATGTCGCACTGGCAGTAATTTTTAACTAGCGGGGTAATTTCCCCATTACATTATTGCACTGTGCAGTGCTGGGAAAGAGAAAGAGATGTATTAAAAAAACAACAGACATGAAGCACTTCCAGTTAATTTGAGGCTCCAGGAAGAACCTAAAAATACTCTCGGTAGTCAAACGGGGTTGGAGCCCAGCCTGACACACGTCAGGATGCTCAGGGTGGGGGGGGTGGGCATGCACACACAGGAACACTTCTCTCTAGCACCTCTTCCCGTGCTAAGGATACTCTGTAGGTGGGTTTGGGATTCAGGAAAATGAAATTTGGAAGACCTGGTAATCAAGTTGTTTTCTGGTTGGCCAAAGTGCAGGGTACAGAAGGAGATTCTGAGTTAGCTCATGATCAGGAAATGCATCCTGATGCTCCTCCATAGCACGATGAAATCATAGAATGGTTTGGGTGGAAGGAAGCTTAAAGATCATCTGCTTCCAACCCCCATGTTCCAATTCCCTGATTCCACTATATCAGGTTGTTCCAAGCCCCATCCAACCTGGCCTTGAACGTTCCCAGGGATGGGGCATCCCCACAGCTCCCTTGAGCAACCTGTGCCAGTGACTCACCACCTTCATAGGGAAGAACTTCTTCCTAATATCTAATCTAAACCTGCCCTCTTTCAATTTAAAGCCATCACCCCTTGTCCTAACACTCCATGCTCTTGTCAAAAGTCCTTCTCTTTTGGGACGCAAAGGTGCTCTAAGATCTCCCCAGAGCCTTCTCTTCTCCTGGCTGAAAAACCCCAACTCTCTCAGCCTGTCTCCATAGCAGAGGTGCTCAAGTCCCCTAAGCATCTTCACAGCCTCCTCCGGACTCACTCCAACGCTCACTCCATCACTTTTTATGCTGGGGGCCCCAGAGCTGGACACAGGACTGCAGGTGGGGTCTCTTAACAAAAGCAGAGGGGCAGAATTCCCTCCCTGGTTCTGCTGGCCACTCAGCTTTTGATGCAGCCTAGGACATGGTTGGCTTTCTGGGCTGTGAGTGCAGTGACATTTTGTCAACCAACACCTCTAGTCCTTCTCTGCAGGGCTGCTCTCAATCCATTCTCTACCCAGTCTGTGTTTGTGTTGGGATTGCCCTGACTCAGGTGCAGGAACTTGCACTTGGGTCTTGATGAACTTCACGAGGTTCGCACAGGCCTCCCCCTCAAGCCTGTCAAGGTCCCTCTGGATGGCATTCCTTCCCTCCAGCACGTCAATCACACCACACAGCTTGAGGTCCTCGACAAACTTGCTGAGGGTGCACTCGATCCCACTGTCCATGTCACCAACAAAGATGTTAAACAGTGCTGGTCCCAATCCTGACTCCTGAGGAATGCCACTCCCCCTACAGCAGATAGACCCCAGCATTATCACACGCCAAGCAGGACCTAACTGCCCACAGTACCCATGCCATGCAGACAAGAGGTGGGAACCAAAGCATCAGGGCCTTTTCAGCAGGATTAGCCCAATACAAATTTACCCATCCTGGCTGGCAGGAAGAGGATGGGCTGTTTGGATTATAACATGGCAGAGCAGCACAAGGGATGCACAAGGTGCCTCCCATCTCCTACAGACACTGTGAGGGACCACTTTCCTCCCCCTCCCTGCAGCCACAGGGTAGCTGGGAGCAGGGGAAGGGGGACAGGATGCAGTTTAATCAGAGCAGCCCCCCTCGGAAACACACTCCTTCCTGCCCACCCTGCCTGCCTTCCCACTTGGGGGAAAAGACATTTACCATAAATAAATAAATAAATAAACATATTAACCTTTCTCCTCATCCTGATGCTGATATAATTACCCAATACTAATAATTACTCACACTAATTTCTCGCTCAGGATTCCTGCCCTCGCTCCTGCCTGCCTCGGGCTGGCTTCAGGCAGCAGCTCGGCAGTGCTGCCTCCTGCCAGGGGCCACAGGAGCCCCTGGGGGCAGCTGGATCCCAGGGCTGAACCAAGGCAGAGGAGCAGGAGTGAGGGTCGACTTGTGGGGCTGCTGCCTTGGCAAGTACGCAGAGAAGACCAGAGGCATGGAATTATAAACTCCCTGCTCGGGTGAATCATCTCAAAGCAAGGCCAGGGGCTGCTCTGCCAGAAACCCATGTGCACACCTTCCTTACCCAAGCAAGGAGCCCACCCCACAGGGTGAGCACCCAGCACAGCTGAAGACGGAAGGTTTAGGACCTGGACTCCCATAAGATGAGAACTCTGGTAAAGGAAGGGTGAGGGAAAGGATGGGCTGCAACACCCCAACCCCCAGGGACCCCGGTGTAATGACTGACTGTGGACAGCACGCCCCACCTGGGCAAAGTCTTCTCCCAGGAGACATGGAGAAGGTTCCTGGGCATGGTCTTGTCTTGGCTGGAGAAAGGAGGTGCCATCCCATACAAAGTTTTGGAGGAGGAGAGCACTCACTTTACAAAAAAACAGCTCCTTCCATTGCAGGATGCTTCTGCCCTGGGAAAGACACCCTTGAGGCTTGTCCAGGTAAGGAGGCACCTCCCTGCTGCCCTTAGCACTGTCCAAATTGCCATGGGGAAAACTCCCAGCATCTTTATGGCCACTAGCAATGGGCACAAGGCGGAGAGGAACATCTCCCCAGGGCCAAATTTTGGAAAGACAGGAAGCAGCCATGACCTGGCAGCCACCCAGCACTGGCAGCGGGTCCAGAGGAGGACGGCAGTGGAGGACAGGGCTTTACAGCTCACCCTGGTCCAGGAACACCAGGTGGAGAGGGAGAAAGCACACAGCCGGAGAGGGAAGACAGCTGCAGACATGCCAAGGCTGCTTT